TAATACAATAATTACAATGATAAAAATCGTACAATAATTGATGAATAACTTAACTTTATAGCTTATTTTATTATACGGGGTTCAATAATACAAAAATTAGCTATAATTAATAGTATGTAATAATCTAATTATTCGTCTTCGTCTTCTTCTTGTTGTTGTTCAACTTCATCGGCCAATTGAATTGATTGAGAACTAGTAGAACCCAACGTTCCTTTATCGTCATCGTTTTGTGCATAAGTACGATCTTGGCAGCGAGTTTCGGCATCCAACCAATCCTTGAAACAAACACACATTTCAAGTGTTTCGGGTTTTAGTCTTGTTCTTCTATCATCTAAAACCCTTCCTGACACACTAAAAGCTCCTTCGGAGGCAATGGAGGAGACTTGAATAGCAAAAATATCACGAGCCATTGCCGCCAAAATTGGATGTTTCGTGCTTTGTGCTTTCCACCAATCAAGGATGTCGAGGCCGTACTTCTCTTCGTCATCCATGCCTTTCATGAAGTCGTAACTTAGTACATTTGCAACTCCGAAACATCGCTTTGTGTTCTCCTAGAGGATGATTCGGTACCTAAAAACTTAGATATCATATTAGTAGCTTTTGCATATAAACCTTTGGCCCTTTTACTTACATTTTTGGATGTTTGAGAAGGAGCAAATCGAGTTACGGTTCCATATTTAGATTAATAAACTCTATATAAGGAAATAAATTGATTGGTCACATTAGTTTTATAAGATTCAACATCATCTTCAAAATTCATGCATTGAAAATAAATATCAATTAATAAAAATGTGCCATCATACTTTTGCCTTGGATCTAATATAGAAGCAAAAATATAAATTATAGGAATATTAGTGTAATATTTACGCCATTTTTCCTCCATTGATGGAAGATATCCATCATAATCGTGTTGTAATCGGTTTTCATCGAAAAGTTGTGCAAGTAAACATGCATTGCTAAGAAAAGAATGAGCACAATGATTATAAATAGAAGAAAAACAATGTGTCATACTATATAATAATTGTAAAAACTGCATATATTTTTCACAATTAGACCAATCATCATCTAGTAAAGCAAATTGTGGAAATTTTTTATTATAAAAAAATTGTTAATGGACCCTTGTACTCGATTGCCCTACTCAACATTTCATAGGTGGAGTTCCACCAAGTTGCACAATCCGTTGGTATTTTAATAGCCTTTATCCTTTATTGCCTGCAAAAAGCTTTCCATTCTTGAAATCTCATGTTAGAGCTGTTAATAGACATAATAGCATTCCTAATTTTGTGATAAAATGGACCAATTGCTTGTGTTCCATCCTTCACACACAAGTTAAGAACATGACAAATGCATCTAATATGAAGTGCATCTCCATCTTATATTACATCGGTCAATTGTGGTTTAACTAAATTTGCACAAACTGTCATAGAAGTTTCATTATAAAAAGTCATATACATGATTTTGGGCCTAAGATTATATGCATCAATAGCTTGCATAAAATGATGAGAAATATTAAGACCGGTGTGGGGGTATTCAAGCATTTTAAAATGGATAATGCATTTTTGTAATAACCAATCAGTATCCAACCAATGACAAGTCACTCACAAATAGTGATATCCGTAACCGCTATCCCATGCATCAACAGTCAAAGAAACTCTAAAAGTAATATTACTTAATTCATCATATAACTTCAATTTGTACTCTAGAAAAGATTTCATGGTAGCCGAACGGACAGTTTTTCTAGAGATTTTTTTGTGTTGGGGTTGTAATGATCAGTTAATGTAATTGTTAAAGGGATCATTTTCGGCAAAAAGAAAAGATTGTTCGGCATGTACTAACATTCTCCCAAGTTCATCTCTATCTCTCTCATAATTGTAAGTGAAGCCATGTGGATGGAATTGAGAAATTTTAGGTTGAGTTGGATCACTAGATGGACCACCACATTTTTTTATATGTCTACAAAGGTGTCCCATCCCTCCCTTGGTTTCGGCCGAGTAAATTTTGTTACATGCCTTACACTTGGCTTTGGTTCCATCTCTACTTAATTGAAAATATCCCCAAACACTTTCGATTGGTATTGACAAGTTCCTCTTCGGTACACCATTCTAATGTGTTTGGAATTTGGGTGGATTGTTCACTTGACTCGGTGGCATTTGTTTGGCTACATTGGGTACTTTGATAAGAAAGTTCATGTTGTGAGCCGTATAAATGAGGTGAGAATTGGTTTTGTTGAAATCCCGAACTAGACATAATCCAAGGAGACATATTGTCAAATTGTTCGAATCCTCCCATGGTTTGGGGATGGAAGAAGGGGGTGGAAGGGTTCGGATTGGACATATTAGGGGGGGGGCATTAAAGTGTTTGAATTTGGTGATTCCCTACTAGTACTAGTACGTTTTGACTTGGCTTTCCTAGAGAAGAAAGAAGGGTTCGGGTTTGATGCCATGATTAATAATAATAACAATAATAATATCAACAATAATAATAATACAAACAACAACAACAACAACAACAACAACAACAACAACAACAACAACAACAACAACAACAACAACAACAACAACAACAACAACAATAATAATAATAATAATAATACAAATAATAATAACAATAACATAATACTAACAACAATAATAATAACAAGAACAATAATAATAGTGACAAGAACAATAATTATAACAATAATAATAAATTAATGTATAACAATAACAATAATAATAAAAATAATAATAATAATAATAATAATAATAACAAGGAAAAATTCATGGCAATAATCCGACCTTTAGCCCATTCTTTTTTAATAATCCGACCTTTCGATTATTATTTAATAATCCGACCTTTGGGAATCTTTAATTTTTATAGGTCCCATTTGACCAGAAACCGGTTGAAGAGGTAATTTTTTTTTAAAATACACGTGTCATTACATAATTGGTCAAAAAAAAATTAAAAAACACAAATAATTCACCTGGCAGCCACTCCCTTGGCAGCCCACCACCATCCCCACCACCACCCAAACCACCACCCCCACCACCAATCAGCCAACTACTCCCTTTTCCCCTCCCCTAGCAGCAACCCCCACCACCAATTAAGCCACATAAATCGTTGCCCCCATCCAAGTCAACCACGAAAACCACCCCAGCCACAACCTTCCACCAGCTAGCCTACTCTCATCGTCAACCACCACCACGAAAACCGCCTTACTCCAGATACACCACCCAAACCCCAGAACCACCATCCCCCTGTGCCGGTTTTCCCCCTCCCCCTGCACGCCGATTTCCCCCCTCCCCCACGCCGGTGACGCGACCCACCCTCCCACCGCACTCCTTCAATTCCCTCCTTTATCGAACTCCCACCTCGAGAAAACCCGTCGCCCCTCCCCCCACCACCGCGCCACCACAAACCAGCAGCCACACCTCTCAATAAGCGGCAGCAACCACAAATTGAAGCAACAAAGCATAGATTCAGCTCGATTTCAATTAAAAAACGGAGTAGGCGCTCCTCAATCGGGATGCTAAATCAAATGGTTGAGATTTTGTGATACTAGTTGTTGATGATGTTGAACGGTTTTGATGGTTGAATGGGAAGATCGAAGAGCAGCATAGCAACCAAGGAGGAAAATCGGGGGGGGGGGTTTGATGGTTTTCTGACGGGGTTTGGGTTTTGGGTGGCGTTTCGGGTGGGGATGGGGAGAGGGTTGTTTCCGGCAGGGTGGGAGGGGTGGTGTCGTGGGTGGGGGAGAGAAAAGGGTAAGGGATTGGGTTCGCCGGCCGCCGCGGAGGGAGGGTTCGCCAGCAGCGGAGAGAGAGGACTAGCAGTGGGTGGGGGTAGGGTGGCTAGGTTTTTTTTTTTTCCTTTTTTTGTTTTTTTTTTATTTTTTTCTTAATTTTTTTTTACCAATCACATGCCGCCATGTGTCATGTAACCTGTTATAATAGGTTACATGACCGGTTGGGACCAATAAAAATTAAAAACCCCCAAAGGTCGGATTATTAAAAAAGAATGGGCTAAAGGTCGGATTATTGCCATGAATTTTTCCTAATAACAACAACAACAACAATAACAACAACAAATTAAAATAACGTTGAGTTAGATCTTACAACGACGCTTCAATTGCTTTCCGCTAATTAATTTCCCGAACTTATAATTTTTTTTTAATTTTTATAATTGAGAGAATTAGAGAATTAAAGATTAGGATAATTTGTAAATTACCACCCAAAAATGTACCTGTTTTTGAATTAACCACCCGTTTAATTTTTTATTTTTATTTTACCACCCCTTAAATTAAATAATCACTCAAATTACCACCCATTTTAAAATTCCGGTGGTTTTCCGTCCGTGGGCCCCACCTAACGGGTGGTAATTTAAAAATTTTCCCCATACTTTCATTTTTTCCCTCGAATTTTTCTCTCTCCTTCTTCCTACCTTCTTCAACCTTCAATCCTCCATTTTCTCTAACCTTCAGACAAATTCTTCTTCTCCCCCCTCCCCCACTTTCTCTCTCCTCCATTTTTCTTCTATCAAAATGATGAAAAAATCTTCAAATTTAAGCAACAAAGCTTGGAGTATAGCTTCTTTAATGGCGGAACTCCCTCTTTCTCCTTCCTCTTTTAATTTAATTACAACTTTTGTAATTATTGGATTGGGTTTTTTCTGAAATTAGGGTTCATGCTTCAATTGAATTGGGGGTTTTGTTAAATTAGGGTTCTTATTTTAATTGAATTAGGGGTTTTCTTAAGTTAGTGTTTGTGTCTATCAAATGGGATGGAAGACTCAACCTTCTCCACACATCTCTCAATGCCGGATATCTACGCAATATATGATCAATTGTTTCCTCATTCCTACGACAAACAAAGCACCTCGCATCATACGCCAGATTGAGACCAAACATAATAGCCTAAGCTTCAACTTCTAATGGGGAGCACGCAATAGAGATACCCATACTTGCAGTCATCATGATATCCCCAACATCATCTCTGACGATCATCCCAACTCCAATCATATACCACTTTAGAAATCCTTATCTTTGCAATAGCTGCCACTTCAAACTCAGAGAGTAAATCTCCGAGGTCTTGAACTCGATGTAATTCTGTTTCCAGGAAGCAGGGGTATCCATTTGTCACCCCACAAGCAGCAGACACTTCTCCCATTGCCAATAAGCCATCTTGAACCCTCAATGATATAGTACAATGTGAATAAAAGAAAGATGCTCACTCATACTTATATTTTGACAGCTAGAATAATCTGAAATCAGACTTGGCAATTTTATTCTCTTGATGAAAATGTTGTTTAATAATAATGAAGTTAGTAACATGCTCAAATGGAGATAGGGTGCAGATTTAATTACAAAAGTTGTTAATTAAATTAAAAGAGGAAGGAGAAAGAGGGAGCTCCGCCATTAAAGAAGCTATACTCCAAGCTTTGTTGCTTAAATTTGAAGAATTTTTCATCATTTTGATAGAAAAAATGGAGGAGAGAGAAAGTGGGGGAGGGGGGAGAAGAAAAATTTGTCCGAAGGTAAGAGAAAAATGGAGGATTTAAGGTTGAAGAAGGTAGGAAGAAGGAGAAAAAATGAAAATATGGGGAAATTTTTTAAATTACCACCTGTTAGGTGGGGCCCACAGACGGAAAACCACCGGAATTATAAAATGGGTGGTAATCTGAGTGATTATTTAATTTAAGGGGTGGTAAAATAAAATAAAAAATTAAATGGATGTTTAATTCAAAAGCAGATACATTTTTAGGTGGTAATTTACTAATTATCCTAAAGATTATGTGAGTTTTTTTTTTTTGTTTTTTTTTAGAAGTAAAGATTATAAGAGAGTAGGAATTAGAGAATAAGAGAATTAGAGAATAAGATATTTGAGAATAGATGAGTTAATGAATTGTGGAAAAAAATGGAGGAAGAAGTGAAGTATTTATAGTAATTAGGAAGCTGAAAGTAGTCGTTAATATAGCCGTTTATGGCTGTTGGAAGAAAGTAGTCGTTTATAGTCGTTATGCACAGGCCGGGTCGGGCCTGGCGGGCGGGCCGTTCCTGGTCGTGCCGCGTGCCGTGCCTGATCGTGCCGCGTGTCGTGCCTGCGGGCCGTGCTCGCGGGCCAAATGACTGTGCCTGGGACCGTGCCGTGCCATGCTCATGCCGATTTCCGAAAATTTTGTTCACGGCACGGCCCACTGCTGGGCCACCGTGCCGTGCCGCCCGCGAGCCGACACGGCCCATGCCCACCTCTAGGCATAGGTTTAAAACCTAATGTCCCCTTAGGCCAAATTAAATTAAATGGGTCCATGTGAGGGGAAGTGTGAAAATGCACTATGACCCCATAATACATCACATGTGGCTGTATTGAAAAGAGACCTTACATGTGTAGGGGGGTGTTGAGGCGTCTTCCCAAACAACACATGTAAGTGTCCCACATTAAGAAAAGAAAAGAGAGTTAAACACTTTATAAGGCTAAGGTGCTACTCCTCCTATGGCCTTATGTTTTGGGATGGAACCTCCTTAGACTTGTAAAGTGAACTCTCTCTCATGATTGTGACTGTGGCCCAAACTCGTATTTAACAATATGAAACAAAGGTAGTATTTTATTAATCACTAGAAAAAAATGTTGCTCGAGTTATTTAAAATACAATGTCCTAATTGAAAAGATAAAAGTTAATGTTGTATAAAAATGGACGAGGTAGTATTCTAATATCCACATGTATATTTTCACTCGATCACTCTTTCTTACTTGATCCACATTATTTTTCTTACACCTATCCACCTGTTTACTCTCGCTAGATCTCGTCCTTAATACTTAATTGTATTAATACCATCAAGAAACAAAGGTACCAAATATATTGATGCAAGCAATACAAAACCCAAGGATAGGGATTTAATTATGTATGTAACGCAATCAGAAGAAAACTAGTAGGGCAACGTTCAATTAAGACTCGTGCAATAGAAAACCATTAGATGAGATTTTAATTAATTATGTAATGCAATGGTCTGAATAAGCAAAGAACTAATGTTGGATAAGGAACAATTAAGAATTTGGAGATCGAATTTGAAAAGTAAAACAGTAAACATGCTTCTATATCATTCTTCAAGGCATACCTTTCTTCTTTAATTACTAACTTAGCTATATTTCTTTCTTGGATACAAAGTATAGAACCTCAATGTACAGTATATATAACTACAATCTTATATACTTATATATTACGAAGTACTTTGTATATATTAGTAGCTCCGTTATTGCAAGAGTCTCAAGCCAGAGAATTTCAAAATGACATCCGTTCAAGAGAGCATTTACAACAACAAAGAAGCCGCTCCGACGAGGCTGTTCGGTCGGCTAAGGTCCATTCATGAAGCTCTTGGTGGTGGAGAAGGTTTGTCACAACTTAATCCTTTATAATTAACTATTATAACTCATGCATGATGCATTAATACTACTAATTACATACTACGTATTACTTCCTAATTTTTTTTTTTTTTTTTTTTGACAAGTATTAATTCCTTATTAGATGAATTAAGAAGGGGATCAGAATAACTACTTTTATTGATTAAAGGATGAAAAAAGTATCTTGAGCTTTAATAAAACGAAACTAACCCAAATCCTCCCAAACAATACGTTCTAATGCATAAAATAGTTCACACTTACGTTGTATAAATAATGTACGACGGATTGGAGCTTTAGATGGTAAGTTGTGGCATGATTATTTATTGTTACTTTTAATAGTATAAAGTGTGATGGGAATTCGTGTGCACATCTATATTTGTACTGTTATTTTGATGAAATATGTAGGCATGGAAAGGAAAAGTGAATCCACAAATCCCCAATAACTTTGGAAAATTTTGTATATATTAATTAGTTGATGCATATTTTTTTTGAAAAGTTTCTTTTAGTTGATATATTTCTTTTTTTGATTTTATGGAAAATATTTTTGTATACCATTTCTACTTTACCCTTATTAATTACCCTATATTATTATGGCACCAAGGCCCGTTAGACATAGGTCCCCTCATACCCAGTGCGAAATATTCTATTTGAAAGTAGGGGGTGAGTGAGATTTGAACTCATGACCTTTGTGTCACACTGGCTTTTAATACCATATTAAAGGAGCATCTTAACGAAAATCCTTAAGCTTATGATTAAAACTCATAATCAGTTTATATACTTTATCAATTAGTACAATCCTCTCCTATTTCCGGTTCTATAGCAATTGTACCGTCCACAATATCAGGTATCTCCTTGGTGGAAACATATATGGGAAATGATTGTACCTAAATACCGACATATTATGACACGAGTCTTTTAATACTGTTTTGCCAACACATAATTAACAATGATTAATAGACTGAAATACCGACATATAAAAATTATTAAAAAAATAGACATTAATAAAATATACATTCAGACGATTTAAATTAGATTTTGCATGACTATATTTATTATAAGTATAAATTACAAAGCTAGTCAATATGTTGAATTGTGTCACAAGTTAATACTTTGTATATCATTACTATATAAATAAAAGGAAAAATTGTCAAAATTAATACAAACTTTGAACGGTCCGCTAAAAATAAGTCAAACTTTTGATTATCTCTAAATAATACAAACTTTGGGGGTGTTCGCTATAAACAAGTAATTTTACTTGCAACCTGAATGATCGGTTAATTTTTTTTCTTTTTAATAAATTCGTTTAATAATGTAATTAACTTTTAATACCAACTTTAATTAACAATTAAAATATTTGTAAAGATTTTCTTCAAAAATAAAATATTTAAAAAAAAAACCATCTCCTCCACCAGCCACCACCACCGCCAACCTCCCTCACTACCCTCTAGCGCCGGCCGCGCCCAGATCCCACTCCCCAGTGCCGAAGCCGACCCCCCTCCCCCGCGCGTCACCCGCTTCCTCCTTCTCTCTTCCCCGGTGCAGCCTAAACCATCGAATCCCCTGTGGCCCCAAAATCCCTCCTCCCCCACCAACAACTGGATGACCACCCCCAAACCTAGCGGCGTCAGCCAGCTACCACGCCGGCCCGCCATCCATTCTTACCCCACCTTCGCCTTCCCCCTCTCTCCGAACCACCATCATGGAAACCCCATTCCCTTCCCTCCAAACCACCATAAACGTAATTCCCTTAGAAAAAACCACGAAACATCCCTGTCTTGCCCCGAAACCCGCAACCAGCCCTTCCCCATCACTGAAAACCCTAATCGCTAGGGTTTTAGGAGTGATGGAAGCGGCGGTTAGGGGTTTTCGGTGGTGGGGGATAATGGTTTTGTGGGTTTGTCATGGAGTTGGGGAGGGGAGGGGAGAGGTAGGGATGCGGGGATCGGAGCCACCGGTGCGAGGGAGGTGGCTGGAGCACCGGCAAGGGGTTGACGAGGAAGGGGTGGCTGGTGGGGAGGGGGTTGGTTTTTTTAAAGAAAAAAATTAGATTAATAATAATAATAATAATAATAATTAATATTATTTTATATCTTTTAAAAATTAAAAAAATTAGATAAATTTTTAAAAAAATTAAATTAAATCGTTAAAACAATGACACATGTCCTAAATATCTATTAATCAAGTCACCAACCGGTCATAACTTGTTTAAAGTGGGCACCCCCCAAAGTTTGTTTTATTTATAAATAATAAAAAGTTTGACTTGTTTTTGACGGACCGCTCAAAGTTTGTATTATTTTTGACAATTTTTCCTAAATAAAATCTTAAATTATATTGAAATTCTATATCTGATCTAGACATAAGCATAATAAGATAAATTATGAATTAATTTCCTGGTGTATATAGTATATTATGATACTCAAGTTTCTATTTTACATTTGCAGTGGCAGATATCTTGTTATGGAGAAAGCCAAAAGTGTCGGCAATTCTTCTACTCGGCATTACTATCATATGGCTTTTATTTGCGGTTATTGAATACAGTTTTGTAAGCCTTGTTTGTCACATATCCATTACTACACTGCTCGTGTTCTTCATTTGGTGCACTCTAGCAGAACTATTTAACTGGTAAATCATTTCTCCTATTGTTGTTTAGTTTATACTCCATATCATGTACCCACAACCAAATAAAGTACGAATATATGTGTTTTTTTTTTTTTTAAATGCACCATTTAAAAAGTTGATATTTAAAACATAACATTGAGATGATTCTAATATCAGCACATGATCATATTTTTGATTTAAACCAATGAATTTTTTTGGTTACTACTGTTATTTTTAAAAATTTGATTATAAAAATAAAAACAGACACTATATTATAGGATAGAGGGAATACTAGACATGTCAGACTACGGTCGTTTGATGTCCTTAAGTGATTAATAATAATATTATTATGATATACTCCTTATGATGTAGGAAAACTCCTGAGATTCCAGAGATCATGATACAGGATTCAACATTCAAAAATGTAGCCACTATGATTCATGCCAGAATAAACTTATGTTTGTCTATGTTACTAGACATTGCATGTCGGGAGAATATTATGTACTTCTTTATGGTAAGGAAACTTCATTATTTCATTTTTTATTTCAGAATTCAAAAAAAAAAACACATTATTTTTCTGGTTTATAAAGTGTGACATAATTTGGGTTTTATTTTTTTAATAAACAGACAATTGGATGTTTGTTGATGCTATCAATACTTGGCAACTACATTTCCTCCATAAATCTTTTGTTCACAAGTAAGATTAACATCAACTATTTTTTATTCATATATATTACAATACATATGAGGTTACTTGTAATTGAATTATTTTTGAAATTATTGCAGGCTATATTTGTATGCAACTATTGCCATTTCTATATGAGAAATTTGAAGATGAAGTAAATTATATAATTGGAGAAATATATGGAGAAATGATGAAATGGTACAAGATGTTTGATGAAAGCATCCTTGGAAAAATTCCAAGAGGTCCAAACTATGATCGAAAAACAAGATTAAAAGAATGATAATTTGTTCATTGTTATCAATTTCTATATTGCAAAGATGAGTGCCTATTGTATCTCCTAATTAAGATAAATTCACAAAAACATATCCAGGGGCATAAAGGAAAAAACACATTATTGTATAATGTATATATCAATATCACAAAGTTTTATATGCGTTTTTTTTAAAAAAAAAAAAATTCTTCTCTCTCCTCTTTCCCTCCCCTCTTTTCTTCTTCTCCTTTAAGATATGTCCTCTCTCCTCTCCTCTCTGATTTCTCCTTTCATGTTCTCTTTCAAACTTTCTCTCTCTAACGTGGTTCGTTCGTCGGTGGTGGTGGTTTTTGGTGGTTTCGTGGGTGGTGTATTTAATGCCAAATTCGACCATGAAAACTCTAGACTTAGAGTTTTCATGGCCAAACTAGAGTTTTCATGGTCGAATTTGGCCTTTTTAGCCATATTTAAAGTGAAATTCGAAGCCATTGTTAATTTTTAAGGTATTTGTTTTTTTCTTTTTTTTTTTTTTACGATTTGGTTGTGGATTTGGTTGGACCTGGGTTTGTGTTGTGGGTTCGGTGAATTGTGGTGGTGGCGTGGAGTTTAAGGCTTTGAGGTGGTGTAGGATTAGGGTTACTTACTTGGTTAGGGGTTACTAGGGGGGTACTTAAGTAGGGTTACTTAAGGGGTTACTAGAGGGATTACTTAAGGGGTTACTAGATGAGTTACTTGAGGGGTTACTTGAGGTGTTACTAGAGGGGTTACTGATGTAGCACCCTGCTGCACCGTGCGGTTGGCCACACCAGAAACTTGTTGTATCAATATATGTATATAACTAGCTTAAATAATGTACATGTACGGATAATACTAAGACTTTTCTTTTTTTTTTCCTTAACTCAAAGACTATTACAATTAAACTTTAATGAAATTAATTGACACATAAACATGTCTCATTTTTAAAATTAATATTACTCCCTCACTCCCTAATATTTTGCCCCATTTGACTTTTCGCGGTTTTCAAGATGCGTCTTAAAAAGACTTTATCTCCAGTTTCATACGAATGAGACAAATCCAACAAAATTTCATTTGACTTTTATCTCTTATGGATTAAGGGGTCGTTTGGTTGGGGCTAATAATCAAAGGGAAAGGAAATGAACTGACATCATTCCCTTTGTTGTTTGTTTGTCACTTTTTTTCATTTCCTTTACCCATTTTTATTTTTGAGTTTCACCCAAAGTAGTATCATTGATTTCTCACCCTCCTCTAGCCTTTTCCATTCCTTTTCCTTACCGCCATTAAACCACCATACCCACCACCCTTCTACTCAGCTCTTCGGAACTCGCCTAGCCACCAGACCCAGTCACTTCACCGGAACTCGCCATACCTCCTCCACTCCTCACCGGAATCCGTCGCACCTCTCCCACCGCTCCCCTCGAAAATATCTCCCATCCCCAGAAAACCTTCCCCCACCCATGCATAATCCTAGGAAACGCTCTCCCTCCCCTTAAAACCGTTGGTCGCCCCTCCCCTCACCCTCGAAACCCTAGCCGCTAAAAATATAAGGATAAAGAGGTTTGAACCCTCAACCTCTTATAACAAAAATAACTATTTAATCATCTAAGCCAATTATCAACTATGTTATTAATATGTAAAAAAAATTAAATAAGTGCGAATCACAAGGTTTAATTAAAAAAAATACTTAAAGAATAACTTAATTTTGGTTGAACTATAACAATTTCAATTTTGAAAAATCTTTACAAAAATTATCGATTGCATGTGTATAACAATAGCAACCTAAGAACTCAGACTACTCAATAGTTTCACTTAAAAAGGTAACACTTAAAAAGTCAAAATATCTCACTTCAAAAAAGTTAACTTTTTGACGTGAGTTTTGATTAAATATCTGTCTTAGTGCACGAACGATGCTTTAATCGTGTAATATACAATTTGTCATAACTTATACAATATATTATATGTATAATATTTTTTGGTGGGTAACGAGAATAATCCCACTAACCATGACCTCTCATAGGTAAGTCATGTGCTAAAACGCCTACCAATGAACTTATACATAATATCATTTGATAAAACAAGTTATATACGAAGTATTAGTCTATTCCCAGATTTTCTCGGTCACTTACCATTCATAATATTACTCGTATCAATAAACTTATGAGTAAATATTTTGAGTACCTATAAGTTAGATTATTCCCACATTTTCAATAGTGAGATTATTTTAAAAAGACATGTAAAAGGTCGGAATATTCTTGTGTATTTTTCCTTTACAATTTTTGTAAATCAGCTTATACTGGGTGTCTTCCGTGAATAAGATGGGTGAAAGTTGTATTAAGCAACTTGCTCAAAATCAGCTTTTATTGATCGCCTTTCAACAGTCACAAATCATCAAGCCAAACTCAACAATGGAAAATCTACACCCTCACCCAGAAATATATTTATGGTATTAAGCTTTGAGCACAAAATAAGGTAGCTGCAAAATCTCAAATACAAGTATTTCGCAGTGTGCACTCTTCACTCTGTCCGACTGCTATGGATGGGCTCTTCAATTCATCGGCAGCATTGTAAGGATAAGTTTTAAACATAGCCATTCGACTGAAGCTTTAATGGGGAGATGGCTTAAAAACCAAGAGGCCTTTTCACTTCCAATAACTAAGTGTAGAGAGCAGCATTTCTTTACAAATCTATAACTTTTATAACCAAGTACACAAATAGCACAGATATGTCACCAATGGATCAGATTATTCTGAATTATATAAATGTTGTAATCCCTAACCAGAAGCTGCAGAAAATGCTTCTAGGAACCGTGCACTGAAGTTCCTATAGATGATGAAGCTGAAAAGTATACATGAGTCCCAAAAATAACACCATTAAAAAAAAATTAGCATCTTACATATGAAGTTTTAAGGAAAATCTCAAAGCTTACCATAAATAAAATCTGACTCCAAAGGTTCAGGCCACATATTGATGTAGCACCTGAAAAAGGCAGCATGTTAGGTAACAAAGGTATGAGAAATTAACAGAATTCATTCGCAGCGAGATTGATCACAAAGAAAGCAAAGTACTTCATTAAAATTCCTTAGAATATTAATTCTTCCATTCACCTCAGACTAGCTTTGAAGTGAAGCAGCAAGAAAACAGAATACAACAGCATGTTCAGGAATCATTCTCCGGCAAAAAAGTAAACTATTTAACTCATAGATATAGAAAGCATGATCCAGTCGCAATTAAAGAACCAAGGAACTATTCTCCAGAAAGAGAGTGCGATTACCTCTTTCAGATTGACCCATTTCCATGCTTCGTTAGGCGTTCATACATAAACTAAACCATGCCGACCCTGTTAAAATATAGTAGGATGTGAATTTTCAAGATTCATTATATGCAAAATGCTTTAAATTTACTTAAAGCTTATAATGATTTTTTTCCCATTAACAAATTTGAAGACATTATCCTTTGCCACAGCGCTAGATAAATTAACTTCCTCAATTCATTGCAGCGCTAGATAGGCTCTGTTTGATTGCTTTCCTTTTTTCTCCATACTTGTATTCGGGGGGGGGGGGGGGGGGGGGGGGTGGGGTGTTGTTACAATAAGAAAACCATACCTTTTTGAAGTCTGTTATAATTGCCTCATAGAAATTGTTATCTTCCGGCCATCTTGTCCATACTCTTTTCCCAATATTCCCATAATTATCATTTTCAGAAGGGTCATTAGCACCAAAAGTGCCTCATGTACTACGATTGGCGACCTGAGGTCTTCCTAGAGGAGCAGGAAAGGGTATGGCAAAGTCTGCAGAACAGCAAGCTTCCATGAGAATGGAAATTAAAACCATAAAACAACAGAGTGATTAGTCAAACAAGCAACTAATTGTAGTACATGGGGAAATTTCAGAGTGTCACTGTGTAGATCTACTTGAAGTAAAATAAATAAAATGAAATAAATGTTAATATGTGCATACATGTTGTATGCCCAGTAATAATTAACAAAACAAACAAATGATATGTTACTCTTTTATAAGTTTTATAACTAACAAAATTTCCACATTACAACAAAGCCACCTCTACATTTCAACCTGTCAGCATTTAGCAACCACGGAACACTACATTGCAGACCTAGCAGATATAGTAGCACATGATAAATTTCTCTAGTTATCAAAATCTTTGAATCCAAAAACTTACTAGTTTTGTCTCTTTGGGTCAGGATCCTAGTTGGCCTCTTCTGAAATTTTATGAAGATGGCTGCATGTTAGGATGCAAGGTTGGAGATGGTGCATCAACAGATAATTCGACACTGACTGTTCTGTTATCTGTTTCTTATGCGATGCTGAAACAGTTGGGCTAGGTACAGATTCATGAACAGGTTGTGAAGAGCTAAGCATGCCTGTTTACCCCATTTGCCGTTCTCCACTCCCTGCGACCCTGCCAAAGTTAATATAAATGGTTCTCGTCAACAAACAGCATCATCATCATCAAATCACAATTATACCTTATACATTGAAAACATGTTTTACAATGATGATAAAAAAATATGTCAAACCTTATTCTACAAATCATATAATCACTGTTCACCCTGGATAGAAGCTCCCTATATTCCTCGTCTGACACCCGCAGCTCTTTCCCTAGTTCCGTTTTCAAACTTTCCTTCTCCTACTAAATAGCAAAATGTGTTTAAGACAAATGCATATAATGATTCTGAACATAATTATAAATTTGCAACAGCTAAGTACCTAAGAAATGGCATCGGAATGAGCCTTGAAGGCCCGCAAAACTGAGCAGTATGCATCTTGTTTAATAATATGGATTTGTGTTTCCATGTCATTATTTGGCATCCTTGGATATGGCGCAGGGGCAGCAACTGCAGATCTCCCATTCCCAACTACATGTGCATTTCTTGCAAATCTATTTTGATGAGGCGGTGGAAGATCATCATCCATCACTACAAGAATTCCAAATAAAATCAATATTTGAATCGACCTTATAAACAAACGAGAACTGACAAAAAAGACAACAAAACAACAGAAAACATCCTTCAAATGGAATATTGAATGGAGAGAAAGTTGAAATTAGTGGGTAGGAAGACGCAAATTATTTTTATACAAGATAGTTTTCAACAGCAAAGACATAAAAGAAGTTAAAATATTGATGCAGCGCTTTACAGAATACGAATGGACCCCCTCTCAGTGATTATGATGAAGATAAGAACCATGACAATGAAGACAAATGATGCAGCAGATACGATGGATTGTCTAATTTAGAATGTTATCTTTACATATCTTCTAGTAGTAGATTTATAGTTCCAAAATTATAATCTTTATGTACCAACAAACAAACCAAACATATAAAAGAAACAAAGTGAACAAACCCAAAAACTACTGCAGATTCAATTTAGCAGCCATTTTAGCCAAAAATAATCCTTTAATGTAGTTGCATTTTAATAGCCTAGAGCCCTAGACTTATATTTCCACAATTATAATCTATGTCCAAAAAAATAAAATAGATGAGATTTTTGGCTCTGTAATTATACATAGTTAAAGCAACTCAAATAGTCAAATAAACCACCTAAGAGCCCAAAATTGACTATACAGACAGTTATATCAAAGACAAGCAAAACAAAACCTCACCACCAAAGCACCAAACTCAAAGCGGCAAGCGAAATCTCAGCCGGCATAGAAGCAACAGCAACCTTTTTCTGCAAAACAACCCTTTTAGTCTGAGCAGAAAATAACTCCTCAGCATCATCCCCATCAACAACGGAAACATGCTGTGGAGGTGACTCAATTAAATTCACAACAATTCGTAAATTGCGAAATTGATATTCAACGATCATAGAAAAAATCTTACCTCTGAAGTTGCTTCCACGGAGAAGAAAGTTTAGAACCCGCTTCAATGGAGAATTAAGCGTTTTGTGTGTGTGGGAGAGGGAAGAAGTGAGTTGAGCAAAATGAGTGGAAGAGAAGCAAAACTGGAAAAGAAGAATAGCTAAATTGCTGGCTCCCTTAAATGGCTGACTCAGTAGATGAAATTGAAATGAATTAATGTGTATGTCTTATGAATAGTATATTTCATTGACTCTACACCCAAGCCACAATTTATCAGAATGTTTGTCTTATTCCCACTTTTTAATTGGTAGAGATAAGTAGATTACACATCATGAATGGAAAAAAAAAAAAAAGAATGATATCACCAGGGATTCAAGCCAATGTGCTAAAGAAAAAAGGAGATGAGTATACTGAAGATAGATCTATCTATTATCCGTACTCCTACAGAGCGACTTTACAGGTCTTAAAGAATCTCCTACCTATTCATCCTTACACTGGCGGGAAGTATACATTTATTCTCTTATTCCCCTTGAAAGCAATATGTCTCAGGACAAACAGCCAACCTCAGAACCAAGCATGCCTGGTGGAGGGGAACTCACCTTGTGACTTTGAACCAAGCATGCTTGGTGGAGGTGGTGGGGAACTCACCTTGTGACTTTGAACCAAACATGCTTGGTAGACGTGGTGGGTAACTCACCTTGTGACTTTGAAGTCACAAGTTCGAGCCCCATCACCTACATTTGCTAGAGAATAGGGAATTCCCTTACCTTCCCCCTCTACTCTACTCTAAAAAAAAAAAAAAAAAAAAAAAAAAAAACAAAAAACAAGTAGCCAGCCTCAGAAATAACTAGCTTATTCACATAAAAAGAAGATGCTCTAGGGAGACATTGAATTAATGATGGGGAAAACTTTATGGCCAAACTATGAAATGTAGGTTATGGCCAAACTTGATGATGTCATTCCTCTGTGAATTGCCTTTAGCAATGTGACAAACTTGCATAAACTTTCTGCAGAAAACCACTTCAACTTCCATGTCATGGCTCCTGGAATTGTACTTCCATTCTTAAATCCAACTCTCGGTTTCATCATGTCAAGTATAGGTGAAAGACAGGATATTGGGGAGTTTTCTCTAAGAGTCAACGTCACACTCAGGTTCTCTTTGGCTTCAATGACCTGAAAACATCAGAATATTAATAAGCAAGATCACCTTGAACCTAACATAATAGTAAGGTAATCATGCCACAAAAGAAACCACACATCCCTAACCCGTTACTATATCAAACACCAGTATTCTTATCTGGCAAGAGATTGAGAGAGGTGTAAGACAAAGGATTTGCACTACATAAAAAAGGATACAAAGGCTCCATCTCAAGGATCCAAATTAAACTATTACACATGTAGTAAATTGGGCTTTCAACCATCAGAATCAAATTAGTCAAAACAATCTCAACGCTAAGTGTTTTCACATCCAGAAACTTAATTCATATAATTTGATAATCATGTATAAATTACCATCTCAGAGACATTAGCAATGGAACAGCAACTATCAAGCATGAAATAAGAGGTGGCATCTGCATGTGCTGAAAGTGAGCTGAAGTGAAAGATATCCTCAATGCATACAACTATATGTCCCCCACTCACAAAAAGAGATCTGGATACCCACTCTGTTTCTGCCAACAAAAAAGAAACGGGACTTCAAAGAGAGCAATAGATTTACAGAAAATGAAAGTAAAGACAATGAAATAAGCCTCGAAGTAATAAATCTTGACAAAATATGATTAACCACTTGGAAATAAAAGAAACAGGAAAAACAGGTAGCTCGTCAAATTTACAGGTTTAGAGCATAAATTAAAAGTTCATAACCTGTAACTGCAAACACATGCCAAGAATATAATATGTCTTTAACAATCTTATTGGCAAGAGGCAGTCTTTTTAATACTTGCAAAGAAGTTGAACCTCATTGGAACAATAGGTGTAATCTCATTGTCCACAGATTGTCCTATCCAACTCAACCCCAAGGACATTGAGGCAGAATATGATCATTAATGAAAAAGAAAAGGAAAAGAAATGTAAAACGAAAGAATATTACAATCACATGGTAGATTTATGAGGACATTTAAGCACTACCTGCACAATAGCCTACTTACTCTCAGCTACAAGACAAGTATGGAAAACTTTAAAATTACAGACAATGAATTTGCATACACCGTTATAACAAAAGAGCTCGAAACTACTCCCTCCGTCATGAATTATTAACTTTCGTAATAAGGTTGTCTTGTAATAAAAAAATTTAAAAAATAAATTAAGTAATCTATTTAGATTTAAAACAACTTTTTTAATTCCATCAAATCAAATCCTTTTGGATTTTTTGTGAGAAACTACCTAATAAAACCCAAATTTTGTGAGAGACTACTTAATAAAAAATGTTGTAAGAAACTACCTAATAAAAAGCAAAATGTCGTACAATACTATTTATGGCCAGATTTCCACTATTGACCTAATTTTCCGGAGTTGAATCACCTCAAAACACCCCCGAAACCACGCTTTCATCCCCAAAACCAATACAACTCGCTTTAAAAAGCCTCCACCAAGTCGAAACCACCCAAAACTACCACCTCTTACCCCAAAAATTACCATATCGTAGCCCGAAACTACCCCCACCAACTCGGAATATCCCCCAACCACCAAGAAAATAGCCTTAAACCAACCCTCGTGGTGGTTTCGGGGGTGTTTTTAGGTGGATCAAAGCTGGAAAATTAGGTTATCGGTGGAAATCTGATTAGTGGTAGTAATCTACGACATTTAACTTTTATTTGGCAGTTTTTTACAACATTTTTATATTATGTAGTTTCTCACAATATCTGGGTTTTATTAGGTAGTTTCTCACAAAAAAATCCAATCCTTTTCTCTCTTCATCTATATTCCCATTCCATCCACATATGTTTATTACAATATATATAAGTAATCTAGCAACTAATTCATAACTTTTGCATCCAAACCCAACACGTAAAACATTAAGAGACAAAGAAACTATTTTTTGGAGCATCTATATAATTCTTACGATCCACTTAACAGCCGGTAATAATTAACGGTTTTGAGAATATATTTGAGTGTAATTTAGCAAGAAAAGTAATAATATAATGTCCAGTAATGCCATGTAATCTCTAAACTTATATTTTCCATTGTATTTTTCCAATTCACCAAATGCCACTCTCAACAGAAGGTAATGAACAGTAAAAATGATTTATGAAGAAAATGAGATACTTGAGGTGAAATAGCATGATATTGAGCCTTGATACATAACATTTTCTTATGCAACACAAATTCATTTCCCATTACCTTTTATATATTAATGACTACCAAATGGGTTGTAAGAAGTTGTAATAGTTTACTTTATCACTTATACATGCTTTTAATGAGACAAACAATTAGTGATCAAAGATCAAAATTTAACTTATAAGGGTGACAGATCCCCAACAACTTTGAAAGTGAAGAAGTAACTTCAAGTCCTAATGTCTAGTTTAATAATTTCTTTTTTGGAGATAGGTTATACAGTTAGACTATCAAGTATCAACCTAAGGACCTTGTATTGTCACCTATATACAATTTTGTTTTCTTGGATGCAGGTCCATGAAAATCCCTAAGATGTTAGAATCATTATCACCTTTCAGTGTGTTCACCATGAAAAAAAGGTAATACCTTTCAGTGTTTTCACAAAAAAAAAAAAAAAAAAAAAAAGGGTAACAGTACCTTTCATTGTACAGATAGATGTTGAGGCACAAGCCCAGGCCATGCATCTTTTGGTGTGAGGCACACACTGAGCCACACAAATTTATTTTATTTTCCAGAATTATTAACTCTTTTATTCAGTGTGCCTCACTTCAATTAGGCAGACAAAAGCGCAGGGAAATTTATATCACTTTTTAGTGCCTTGAAGCCTGTTTATGCATTGGCACCTTTCAAAAAGACAATCTGTGGGCAGCAACCTTATCCTACGGGGAGCTGTTATTATGACATGTTGGGATCCAGTGCGACAAAGTCAGTTTTTAAGGAAGTAGCTCCTTCATTTTCTTTCTTGTTTAGTCATCACTCCTCACCCTCCTTCCCCTGTTTTATGTCCAATCTTCTACCTTCTCTAACCCTCTTTTTGCTCAATATGTGAAGAAAGGAGGGCTCCATCAACCAAGGCACAGGTTTTTGATTAGGAAACCATTTCCAATTATTATTAGCATCCTCAAAAGTTAATTTTGGTTGTAGTTAATAGTAGGACTATAAGTGATTGCATAATCCTAGAAAACCAAATACAAACTATTAGATTTTAATATAAGCAACGCTTAAATAAATGGCAATGTTTGTGGCTTTTGGTTAATTAGAGAGGGAAATGAGGGCAAAATGCAATAAAAAAAATTGAAAAAAAAAATCACTAGCTAACTATTTTTTTTTTTTGGTAGATGCAATTGGAGTAAGGAAGGATATGAACTACTGGGACTTATTATTGAATGAAATTGTAGAATACTCTCCCCTTTTTTTTTTTACACAATTTGACATTCACAAATGTAATTACCATCATTGATCATAGTGGAATGTGTTAATAGTGAAAATAGGGCAAAGTGTGTAGATTGAATATAGAACCCCTAATTTATGAAAGGTCTACTATTGGAATATCGTCCACTAAGCATATAATGTATGATGTACTCCAGCCCCCCAAAAAAATCAATTAAATAGCTACTATAAGATGAGATTCAATGTATTAAAAATTACAAATGCACACCAACTAAATCCTCTTCAACTGACATTGAAAGAAGGAAATAGAAATATTAACATTAATGAAAGAATGACCACGTTAAGGAAAACCAAACAATGTTTTCATCAAGTTCAACCCACTAATTCTGCCTTCTACTAAATTTCATATATTGGTTACTGTCACTTGGCAAATCCAAAGGCACATAGCTTTTACAAACAATGCTGCTCACCAGGATAAAGGTAATGAAAATGGAAGTTTAACATTGGTTACTGTCACTTGGCAAATCCAAAGGCACATAGCTTTTACAAACAATGCTGCTCACCAGGATAAGGTAATGAAAATGGAAGTTTAATATACATGTTTGGACCCCCAGTTGGGTAATAGATGCATGCATGTATGAGATTGAGAGAGGACCCAGGGACTTGATCAAGAGAAAGTGCAAAATATATTAAATACCAATTTGGATAGTATCAATTCTGATTATTTCATAAGACCTTGAATTAGTTCATATAGAATATAACCTTGAGTTAGTTCAGATGGAATGTATGAATGTACTGAAATGTTATGAGAAAAAGATACAGTGAGGGAAAGAACACAAAAGATATGCCTGTTACCTTTGTGCCGAAAAAGAACCATACAATACTGGTAAATGCTGATTCCCAAGTTTCCACATATTTGCCTATCAAACAAGTTCAGCTGAACCTGATCCAAACTGCAAATGAAGTTTTCAATAGTCATAAGCATTCCTCCTTAAGATCTGTCCAAATACTGAGCTTATTTATAGATAAAAAGCATAGACTAGAACTTTAACCTCCTAACAGAAAATCTATTTATTTCTCCTGGCGCAATTAATCCTATCATGAAAAGTAAATGCCTAGTTTTTTCCTTGCATCTTGTAATCAACAGATACGCAGTATCCTCATCAATAAAAACCCTGCAAAAGTAAAGAGCAATGGCTCTATTAATGAGAAAGAAACACTACAGTGCATAAAGAAACAGCTAAGAGGACACTAACCAGATAGCCAGAAGACCCAACCCAACCGAAACCTCTCTCACGTCTTCAACCTTGTGTGAAGTCAATAGACTCAAGTTATTACCTAAACAAACCCATGTGCGAAACAAAAAACAGCACATAAGATATGAGAAAACCATCGAAAAAGAGATCATACCACAGCAAGTCTAACCTGACCCATCATGCATGCCATCAAGAAGAATCACATACAACTTCCATTCACTGCTTAGAACAACAGCTACCGGTCTGCAGTTGTCAATAAAATTTGAAGTTGAGAGGTTCAAAAATTTTGCAGAATGTCTGAGCACTTTGAAGGGTCAACTTTGTCAACAGAAGACAAAAATATATGACCAAGAAAAGAAGAAATTCAAGGCTTACAATATATAACACCAGGGAAAGGAAGAAAACATAAGCAATGAGACCAATAAATTTATGATACAATGCAAAGGTAAGTCCTAGAAGAAGAAATAATTGTTAGGTCGAAGGCCCAAACGGCTGATATATTTTGAAGATATCACAAATCACCTCCAAACACATCATGCAGTGACTTGTTATGGAATCTCGTGACAGTTTAGGATCTAGTAAATCCATAAGATTATGGCTTACTGCCGTATGTATAGAAGTTCAGACTTCAGCTAACCAAGTGTTGTAACTCATTACTTGATGTAAAAATATTTCCCAGTGGCAATCACTCAAGTAAAGCATAGGACTAAAGGTGAGTGGTCATGTGGGAAAGCTTCCACGCCACCAATTCATGAATAAAAGGGCCCACAATCCATGTATGCCACATGTCACAATTTAGTGGTAGTTGTATGGTTGGCCCTTAGGGTTAGGGCCCTTCTTCCATCATATCCAGCCACAACAAAATAGGGTAAAGAAAGAGGTTGTAGCTAATACTTAGTCCTTCAATGAAATTAGAACAAATAATGGAAAACAAGTATTGAGGCTTGAGTTGTTAAATCTTACATATGGCTATAAATATGGATATTACCTTTCGTTCCACATGGGCTTCCTCTCAACTACACCATTGCAGACAATGTACTGCTTGCAAGTCTCGTGAATGGCAGTATCTGCAACAAGTGAATTGAAGTAATTTTCAATATGGTCACCAGTTTTCGAAACTCCATGCTTTGAGTAAGCTAGGATTCCACCAGCCTCATCATGTGCAGGTGCTGAGTTCACCTTTCCATCAGCTCTTCCAATGCAATATATATCATTCATAGTTTGGTTCTGTTGCCCATCTTTAACATCAGCTTTGCAGGAACTTATGCTATCTGACAGTGAAACAACTCTTTTTTTTGGTTTTCTTTTAGAGATTTTCTTTTCATGACAATCATTAACTTGCTTATTGGAAGTGATAGCATCTTCATCATTGTTTCCAAGAAGAGGTTCATCACCACAGAACAACTCTATAGAACTATCAAGTACGCCAAGTTTACTCGTGGATTGCTGCGTATGAAGATCAAGTGAGCCCCATCCTGGTCCTACCTCAGGAGCAAACTTCCAATTGATACCTCGAGTCAAACCCTCTTCGCCAGTATATTGGTAACTTTCAGGGTATGGTGGCCCACTTTCAAGTCCATCCTCGTCATCACAGCTAGTATTACTGTCAGAGGAAGCAGCAGATAAGGACTCAGCAGACACTTGTAAAAACTCTTCCTCCAAGTACTGACGGCGATAAAGAATATCCTCCTCGTAGTGTGGAGGTGATACTGGGGTTCCAGAGAATGGCGTTAACTCCTTAATACTTTTGATGGCAGTCAACGGTGTACCATTAACACTAGCATTTAACTCATTGCCATGCTCACTGATACCAGGTGTAACAGAGTTGACATCTGCTATTTGTAGATGATTTTTCCCCTTAGGCAAATAAAACTTCAGAAGATCTTCATCTAAAGCTCGTGCAATTGCTAGAGGTTTTGTTTCCACATATTCAGAAGCAGAATGATGCCATTGATAGCCATGATTGCCAGCAGAAGAACTAGCAAAGGAGCTATTAGTTTTCTCAGCATTTGTACTCCTATCATCTTCTGAATTTATGATCGTGTCTGATATATATTCCATGTACCTTGAATTCTCTCCAATGTGCCTCCAGCTAGATGTCTCTCTTGAATTGCTGTTACCAAAAGCCAGTGCGGCCTGGCTACTCTTTATTTCATCAACCCAATTCTCAGATCCCTGATCCATCCAATCCTTGAATTCCTCCAACCATAACCTAGAACGTTCTTTTTTCATAAACTCAATTCTGTTAATCAAACTACTTAGTTCACCTTCTTTATCCGAAACATCCTCCTCTCCCCCGTGCATATCATTATCACAGGACACTGAATCTTGCTCAGAGAGCATGTTCATCCCAAGCTCTTCATTTTCTATGCATGCAAGGCGCGAGAGCTTCTTCTGCAAACAGAAAGACAAAAATTACCACTGAATATTGATCAACAAATATAGCAGACATGTATGGTATTATCCAGTACAAAACAAACAGTACAAGTCTACAAGAAATACAGTACTCCCTCTGTTCCTTAATTACGTGCATGTTTGAGTTTTTTCATGGAATTAAGGAAATTGGAGATTCCTTAAATCGCATGATTAGAAGTACAATGGTGCATTTGGGGTTGATGAGAGAGATAGAGAGGGAAAAAGAAAAGGTGGTTGGACATTAATGAAAATAGAGAGAAATAGAAAAAAGTGTGGTTGGGAATTGCTGACATAAAGCATCAATAGTACAAAAAAGGACAACAACTCATCAAAAAGGGAAGATGGAAGGAATTAAATAAATTGTATGAGGGTAATATTGTCAAAAGAGTACATGCTTTAAATGGAAAAATTGTGAAACAGGCACAATATTTTGGGCACCCCTAAAAGGAAAACAGGCACATAATTAAGGGACGGAGGGAGTAATAAAATATATTCACAATTCCAAGAAGTGTTCAATAGCTTACCCTTTTTCCATCTATAAACCTTTCCACTTCATTGTCTTCCCTTGCAGGAAAGTAAAATCCATAACTTGCAGGCCTTCTGTGCCTCCTTGCAATTATTATATGCCTCTTCAAAAACTCTCTTGTGCTCATTTCTTTGTCGTCTAATTTCACCTGAAAGAATACGATTCATGAAAATTTTAGGAAGCACTACATCATGCTTGGATTTTGAATTGCATAGTCAATTTCTTTTGCCCTGCCAAACAAATTAAAAAAGAAAAAAGAAAAACAAAGCTGAAAAAAATGCCTGAAAGATGCTCTAACACCCCAAGGAAACAGAAAGCAGAACCTACTTTTTCAGGATGAAGGAAATGGCTGAAAACTTGTGGCCGATACCATCGAGCACAACAGAGAGGATTCCCTTCAAGCCAAATATTTTTTAAAGAAGGAAGGCCTGAAAGGACCTCTAGCTCCACATAGTTAGAGATGATGTTGTACGAGACGTCAAGTCCTTCTAAAGATTTCAAATTCTCGATCCCTCGCAAAGTAGTCAATGCATTGCTCCTTAAAACAAGTTTTAATACATGGCATGTTACCTGCATAATACAATAGAAAAAAAATTTAATAAATAAATAAATTAGAAGTCAGTTCCTCATGGGTTGAGCATTAAAATTGCTTTGCTTGTAATTGCAACACAAGATGTTCTCCGAAAACCTTATAGCTATGTTATTGTCCAGCCAATCTGGGTCATTAAGAATCCAAGTGAAAATTGAAAGACAACATACACTTTCAGAATCACAACCAACCAAACCAAATTTAAAGACATCACGCAAAAGATGCAAAAAGATTCTCAATTTCAAAAACAGCATCAAAGCTGAATGCAAATTGAAAAGAACCGCTTTGTCATTGGCCTATTGTCAACCATACCAGATTGAGTGCCATATATAATGCCATGGGCTGGCAGTTCATGGGTTGGGAAGCAAGTTTGGTGTGTCAAAAAAAAAGAGCATTTCACCGGATTGGGATGGCTTTGACTGGGTCCATGGGCCACATTATTAGTCCAGGCCCACCCACCTTCAGAGCTGGGTTGTTGGTTCAGTACCGGGATGTCACCCCATACTCAATTGACTTGACCTGATTGATCCAGGTTGAAACTTGGCCATATATAACGTATAAGAAATTCCATTTTGGGCCGTCCTTTAGAGATTACCCCATTTCTCTATATAGTAACATGTCTCCACCATTTACCCCACTTGCATACACTCAAAAATATAAAATATATAAATAAATAAATAAATAAATATAAACAACGATACCCCCATCCAGTCATACACTTGCAAAATTTTGGAATCAGCCTTAAAAAGCACATTTAGCCTTGGTGCAAATGAATAGGGGCGGAGGAAGTAACATCAATTGCATGGAAACAATTGGACCACAAATCCAACTGAAAAACGGATTACTAGTTTTAAATATCTAAATGTAATCTCAAGTCCCTCAAAGGCGTCATAGCAGGTACAAGGAGAAATTAAAGATACAACTCAATCTAAGTGGGTAAGTTAAGTTGAGACAAATTCTAGAAATTATTGCCATCAATTGTTAGTTAGGAAACTAAGTATATTGCCAAATAATCATCTTCTCATACGCACCAAATACAACAAACTTCTGCATTAGGTGATCCCTTCATCCTAGCCTTAGATTGAACAAAATAAACAATAATAAAATGTGAAGATGAAGTTTTACTGACTATTTAATAGAAAATGGCAATGATGAAAGAAAGTCAAAGCTTTGAAGCATTCAAGAGTCTTTGATTCTATTCTAACCAACAATCTAAAAGCTAGCAGATATAGTATATTAATATATATTCTAATACCAATATTACCTAGATTACTGCTGTAAAATACTAATATATTAATATCAACACATTGAGAAAATCACAGTAGTAACAAGACAACAGAAGCAATGATTAGGTAACAGTTAATAGTCGGTGAAAGCATAATGAGCTAAAAGGAGCTGCAATGGCTCATTCCTTAGAATCAAACCACACATGCAAACATATTCCTTAATAACTTAGGGTAAAACCCTATACGCACAGAAATACAGACAGTTGCCAATTCTATTGGGATGCTTCTTTTAACTCAGATTCTACTAGCAATTCTCTTGTGATATATAATCATGAAAAGTGGATAAGAATCTCACTTTTCTAATTTGATTTAGCTTATACTACGTAGATTATATAGATGAAGGAAGAAACTCAAAATTCAGTCTCACCACATATCTAGCAAAAAGGGGTTGAGTATCTTCAAGGTGAAGGAAATGATATAAACAGTTTAGAAATTGGGAAAAGAAAAAACTATCTGGAGTTTCACTGATATTCAAGCCATTCTACCAACTACACTTACCTCACTAAATGATGCAACTGATCGAAGCTGATTAAATCCCAGATCCAGGTGCATTAATCTTGTGCACTTCCGTAGATTATCAACTTTTGCAAACTTGTTTCGGCTAAGATCAAGAGTTTCAACAGCTGGAAGAAGTTGCAATGACTCATCCATAAGAATCAATCCATTACATGCACAAGATACAAAAGATAACCGGATCCATTGGGGTGATTCTTTTATGTCAGCAATTCTACTTGCAAATACATGACGTAATGCATCCTGAAATTAAAAAGAGAAGAAATTGGATCACTGTGCATGACCATCAGAGCACCAGCATATAACTTGCAGATAAAAAGTGGACATTGAGGAGAGGCGAAATCAGATAAAATCCATAGATAACATGATTAACTTAGTAAAGACACAACTTAGAGAAGAAAAATAAGAATACTTGGTTAGGTTAATCATAGGAAGGTATCATAATACATGTTGTCGTAATGAATATTGAGCATACATTCAGTATGGAATTTTATACATGAATATCCAAGGTAACGCATTTTATTAACAAACCTTTACTTTTCTTCAATGATTATCAAAATCACTCAAAGGCAAGTTTCTAGCAGGTGATGGTGACCCATAATCAAGAAAAATTGAAAAAATACTAAACGTCTAATGGTATAAATGCATGGAAACAAAACTTGGCCGTCCAGTAATGGAACAGGTATTTAGCGACGGGTTTACGAGAGACCGAACCAAAAAACCCCGTTTTATAACAGCAAGTCCGAAATCGCATCCAATGCGGTGCATTTCCCGTTCCATGACATTGGGATTTTTTAAAACTCATAGTGTATTTATAATAGTGTTGGCTATAATATGGTATAAATACAAATAAATGAGTCTACAAGCTAAACATTTTACTTATGTGATTTTCAAAAATAAAATAAAAAACATGTCGCGAAACCCGCGATCTATCTAACCATTACAAGCCGATCCCATGACAACGCGACCAAGCAAGTTTATTGGAAAACCCTCTCTCTCTCTCTCTCTCTCTCTCACACACACACATTTTCCAAATAGTTCAATGCAATGAACTAAACTTTTTCAATTTAAAAAAGAAAAGAAAAAAAAAGAGAAAAAAGCTACAATAATTAAATAATCGTGCAACGCATGAGGTTGCAAGGCTTACCTATTTTATATTTAAACAAAGAAAGTCAGGTGGGATCTTGCTAGATTTGTCTTGGTGTATATTTCCATAATATTATCTTTTTAAATATAGTAATGTTTGAAGCTATGCATTGACAAGCATGAAAAGAAAAGTGTTTCATCAAAAACTACGGAGGAAGTATCAAACAAGAAATTTTAGAGAAATGGTAAGAGAATAGTGAGTTGTGTTGAGGAAAATAATATCAGAGGACAGCAATAATAAACATATCCATGATATATAGTGAAGAGGACATAAAGGAAAATTCTTTATAAGACCCAATTACATTGTTATTGGATCCTATGGGTTACAATTTAGGCTAATGAAAAACAAACTTAAGTCACTTGCATGTTTGGATGGAAGAAAGTAGTGTGCTTGCTGCCACTCACACGCCGGTCTAAGGGATATGTGTCACCTTCAAGGGCGCCTCATGAGGAGGATGTCACTCATTGGGTTCGATCATTGCTTCATCAAACTACCATGTTTTGTTTTCAAGTATTATTCTAAAGTTTTGCATAAAATTTTTACATTTCACTATATAGGTTTTTTTTTTTTTAAAAGCATCTAGGAGGCTAGGATTTGTTTATTTTTGGTGTCTTAGACATGTGTTAAGAGTCCTTAAGTTAGGTTTGTTAGTTTTAAACCTGAATTTGGTTCAGTTAATCCTAAACTGAAAAGATTACCTGCAAGGCAAAGTCAATTAGGCAAGTTGGGTTCGGGCTTTTCCTAATCTTATTAGGAGTCTCAATTAGAATGGCGTAGACCTCTATATAAAAAGGACTAAGTGTGTAACTTTGACACACAATTCAAAATTAAGCTCATAAAGGTGTCTCGCTATTATATTCTTGTGAATCAAGTTATAAAGGGAATTTCCAAAGTAAGAGAGTTGCAACAAATTTCAAATTGAACAGCAAATAAGCTGCAGTTTGAAATAAGGTATTAAAAAGCACTATTTAGTCCGACCCAATCTAGTTCAAGACAGTAAATACTAAGATTGGTGGCACTTGGTCCTAGCAAACAATTTCATTTATATCTGACCCAATGGAGCCACCCCTTTTAACAGCATTCCACACATAAAACATTTAATCGAAGTAAATCATTTCGAATCCACGATTCTAATCGAAAACTCGACAATCTGTGATCACTTAACATCCATGAACACCTATAAAAACATTCTAAATTCAAGCTAAATAAAATGTCATACATCTAGAGTAAAATTGAAATTGAGGTGAGACAAACTTACAGTGGAATTATGACAAATAAGTTTCTCCAAAGTATGTCTCAACTCAAGCAAACCTTTAGCTGCAGAAATAGAAAGATCACAACCACGGAGCTCCAAAACCTTCAATCTTCCGAAAGCAAGCAGCGACAAAGGCGTCGGATCCCTTGAAGGGGGAGGCAATACGGAAACAATCTTCAACGACGAAAGACGACACAGAATCTTACGGAGCTGCTCCAGAGCCCGGTGATCACCGAGATCGGATACGTAAGCGCGAAGATAATCAACCGGAGCTCCGGCGATCAATCCCTCTAGTTCACTAAGTGCTTCCAATCTGGATTGAACATAGTGAAGACCAACTGGATTCAGCTTCAAAATTAGGGTTCCATCGATTAATCCCCCTGCATTTTTTGCCACGAATTTAACTAGGGATTCAAGGTAACGATCACCAGTCACAATCTCCATTGATTGGAGAACAATTTTTTAGGAATTCAAGGTTGTTTTTAGGATTGATGCATGATTAGAAGCAAGAATTTGGAATTCCGAAAGAAGTAGGAATGAATTTCGGAAATGAAAGAGTGAGAATTCAGAAGAATATAGGAAGAGGAGAAAACAATACATGCTTTCAATATACGGTGAATAGGAATTGGAGAAACCCGGTGCAAATGTTTCTTCTAATCTCGTAGCTCCGAAAGAGCATCTACAGCGGTTAGCTTCGGCCTAGGGGTGAGCAAGACCGGGTACCCGGTCAAGTTGAAGGAAATTGGAACAGGACCCGGTTAGTACCGGGTCAAAAATTGGACCCGGTGTTGGAATCGGTCCCAACAGACTCGGAACTGGTCCCGGATCCAGTCAGAACTGCTTCCAAAACCGGGCACCCAGCTTATCATCATCAAATTGGATCGCGGCGATATGGCTTCGACCAAAAAACAATCTCTGACTTTGAAATCAAATCTCATATAATCATATCTCTTAAAATCAACCTCAAAAGATTAGCTAATCACTAACAACGTTGGATTTATTTACAAACAAAGCAAAAAAAAATCAAAGAAATAACTCAAATTACTAGCAGAGTAGCAGATTCCTTTTTGTATGTTTGCATGTTTATTTGTGTATACATGTGCTTTCATCTAATTGTTAGCATTTACTTACTTTAGTTACATTTGTAGAGATAATTGAAAAGAGAGGAAAAAAAAAAAAGAATTACAATGAGACTAGCTAGGAGATGAAAGAGATTGAATGGAAGTAAGAGGGATAAGAAGGGAGGATAAAGATAGGGGATTGATAGGTGAGACAAGGATAAATAATTTTTATTTCATGTTTGGTAAGTATGGAAAAAATTAGGAATAAGTAATAAATTTATAAAAATACCCTTACTAACTTCTACCATTTCTCCTTACCCTTTTAATTTCATTAAGGATAATTTGGTCTTTTAAAACTCATTTCTTATCTCTTCCCTTTATACCACCCCCTTAGTTATAGAAATGGAGGGATAAGTGGGTGTTTTTATCCCTATCCCTAACCCCCTTTTAATCCCCATCCCTCTAAACAAACACTACATTTCTTCTATCCCTATTTTTTATCCTTACCCACCCTTTTTATCCCCCTAAACAAACACACTCTTAGGGTTTGGTAGATAGGGTTTAGTAGTAAGAAAACAGTATATTATTGGATTATTGGGCTTAATAAAAAACATGGGCTGCAAACTCCTATTAACTCTCATGGTCTAAGAAAAACTAACATATAACTAGTTAACTGGGTACCCATCGGGTACCGTGTCCAAAAACTTAAAACTTGGAATTAAAATTGGAATTGGTTGCAACCGGGTCCTTGTTTTTGGAATTGGACCCGGACCCAGTTGAACCAGTTCCAGTTCTGGACCCGCTAGGTCTCAATCGGTTCTGGTTTCAGAACCGGGTACCCATAAACAAACTAAGGTTTTGTTTAGTTCAACTTATTTTTTAGGAAAATTTTGAAATAACTACCTTTAAAATGCATTTTTTTTTAAAAAAATAAACTACCTGGATGAAAAAAAAAAATTATTTAACTACCACTTAAACTCATAAGCTTTTTATTTTGCAACCAGATAACAGAATTTATGACTATAGACGTTTGTGGGGCCCACCCAATTAACTTCCCTCCACTTTTCAATTGCTCTCTGCTCTTCTCCCTCATTCAATTCGCACACCCAACATCCTCTACCTTCTCCAATTGAAAATTACTCCTTTTTTTTTTTTACAGAATCTCTATTAATATCTCCCCCCCCTGTCAGCATCTTTCTTTCTTTCTTTCTCTCTATTTCGTTGGGTCAACTTTGTTCTGGAAGAACAGGGAGGTGGAAGCTTTTGCGTGGAACAACTCAGCAGCACTCGTCATATCCAATCCATTGGCGAAAAGGTGGAAGAATCTGCTGACAAAAACCAAATAAGCTAAGGTATATAATTCTTTACTGTTTATTGTGGTCCAACAATGGTGTTAAATTCACAATATATGACTAAAGTTTGGGGGTTTTGGAAATTTTTCTGTAAACCCTAGTTTACTATGCTTTGATTAATTTAATCATAGACTTGTGTTTAATTAATAATTAATTGGAAAAACGCATGTGCTAGGTAGTTACTATTGTTTAATTAATTATCATGTTGACAGTTATTAGTGTTAATTTTTGTTCTTGTTTGTTATGTGTAATGTGACTGTAGATGGTCAATAGTGTTGAATTTCGTGACATTAAGCTTAGAATACATGGGGGATTTGTGTACAAAAACCACAAGGGAAAACGAGTTAGGGTTTATGAAGGTGGTTGGGTTTATTGGCAAAGGAAGTCAAAACTGTCAGAGATTACAGTTGAGTATCTAAGACACTCATGTATAGAGGGGTTTGTATATGCTAATAATCATGTGCCTCCTTTGTTTAAAATTTGGTACAAACAAAAAGGCAAGACCTGGACCACTGGTACATGAGGGGATTGTTAATGAGGAAGAAGTAAGAGGGTTTTTGGAGGCACTGCACAAGGATGGGTATCTGGAATTGTTCTGTACCGACCAACCACAAGAACAAACTACAAACCAAACTATAGCCTAAACAGAAGAACAACCAGAAAACCAACCCAAATCACAAAAGCCAACTGAATCAAAAGCCCACAAAAAACCAAGATTCGGTGATACAACAAAACCTGTAGATGTTGAACCCACCCCAACACCAATCAAAGTTTGTCCAGAAAACCAACCCTCCTTGAGAAGGAGCCCTAGGTTTAAAGTTGTTGATAAATTGGGAGTTATGGATGGATCTGCTATCGGTCATGCTAGTAGAAAGCTTTTTAGTGGTGATGTCTCATATTTAGGGTCTTCATCATCAGAGTTTAGTCACTTGGAAATAGATTGCGAAGTTAGAGAGGAAGAAGTAAAACTGAGTGATGAAGAACTATATGATACTGGTCCACTTCTTCTAGAGGAGGTTAAAAGCAATTTGGTTGTTGAGTATTACAAAGAAAAGGGTGATAATACTCAAGATGAGGCTGCTAAAAAGGCTGTGAAACTATCACAGTTAATTCAAGACATTGGGTGTCAAGAGCAGGAGATACAAGAAGAGGTTGATGGTGATTCAGATGAGTTGAGAAGCTTACATGGATCTGATGAAGAGGATGATAACAATCCATGGTTTAAAGAGGCAACAGACTTCAAAAGGCCAATAGTGTTACTAAACAAGCTGAAATTCACTAATAGTACAGTCCTAAGGAGAGCTTTGAGAACTCATGCCATAGAAAACAGGTTTGAGTACTATTATTTACACAATGATGGTGAGAGGATTACTATATTTTGTAAGAGAAGGTGTGGTTGTGAGTGGAATTCAAAGAGAAGTAACCTGCCCCTTTGTAAGTGTCCTGAGAGTGTAAGGAAGTGTGATTATAAAGTACATGCTAGGAAGTTGTTTAATAGTTCCACTTGGCAAATCAAAACATTAAGGTTGAAGCATAGGAGTGTTAGATCAAGGATGGATTCAAAAGTAACAGCTGAGTTCTTTGTAGAAAAGTACTTAGAGGAATGGAGAAGCAATCCAACTTGAAGAAATAAAGCCTTTAGAGACATAGTGCTGAATGACCAAGGAAATAAGTATAGGTTATTCTAAAGCTTGGCTTGCAAGGGCTAGGGCTAAGTTCATGATCTATGGTTCATCTGTTGAGCAATATGCCAGAGTTTGGGACTATGCCAAGGCAATAATTAAGTATAATCGAGGAAGTGGTTGTTGTGTTGTGGTGGATGGGATAAAGCAACCAGAACCACCTCTTTTCATGAGACTTTATGTTTGCCTGGCTCCCCTAAAAAATGGATTTTTGAAAGGTTGTAGACCCCTCATTAGGGTAGATGGATGTCACTTGAAGGGCTCTTATCCAAGATAGATTCTGGTGGCTATAGGGAAAAATGGTAATAATAACATCTTCCCTTTTGCTTGGGCCACAATGGAAGTGGAGAACAAAGACAACTGGATTTGGTTTTTAGAGATGCTTATGAAGGATTTAAATGGTTTTGATGGAGCTGGATGGACGTTTATGTTAGAGAGACAAAAAGTAAATCACATTAAAATTTTATTTCTTGTTTTTTGTATTTTACTCATGTAACTTTGGTTAGGGCTGTTCATCGGTCCAAGACCGGACCAACCCAGACTGGACCGAAGACCGAAAAATTGAATTTCAAGAACCGAAGACAGGACCGATTAAGCTAGGACCAATCCCGGACCGGACCGAAAAAATCGGTCCAAAACCTAGATCGGACCGATTGTAGAATTTTTATTAAAAAAAAATTCTTAATTTTAAGTAGTTTATGAAAAACTCGAAAAAAAAAAAAGAAAAACAACATTGTAACGTCTTTTTTTGTATGTTTAATGCAAAAAAGCTCATACGACTAAAGTTTTCCAAGGTTGTTAAAGATAATCTTAATCATTATTAAAGGATTTATGTATAATTTTAAGCAAAAAATCGGTCCGGTCCAAGACCGATTTTTAAAGGGTTTTGAACCGAACCGGAAAATAATTTCTCGGCCCGAAGACCGGACCGATTAATTTGGTCATCCGGTCCGGACCGGTTAGGTCATTTTTTTTGGTCCGGACCAATTTTTGAACACCCCTAAATTTGGTTGTATTTGTTACTAATAAAACATACATATATTAGTGTGTTTAAGGGACTGCTTGAAGCTTTTGAACAGGTGGTTCCGATCCAAAGGCAGAAAAGAGATTTTGTGTCAGGCACATATGGACAAACTTTAAGCTACAATTTAGTGGTGCCACATTCAAAGAGTTGTTCTGGAATGCAGCAAGGGCCACAATTATGGTAAGTTAAGGAAATTACTTATTGACATAACATTGTAACCATGTCATTGGTATTTGTTCAGTTTCTTATGTGTTGTTATTATTGCTTTTGGGTTTTTTTTTCTGGTATCGAAACTGTTAGTTTGACTTTGAAGTGTCTATGGAGTCATGCAAATTCCTTTCTAAAGATGCATATGAATACTTGGCTAATATCCCTAAACAATACTGGTCAAGACATGCCTTCTCTCCCAATTGCAAATCAAATATGCTCCCCTTGAATAATGTTTATGAAACATTTAATGCAATAATCAAGGATGCAAGGGACAAGCCCATCCTTACTCAAATGGAGTGGATGAGAAGGTATATGATGAAGAGAAACTCTAAGAAGTGGGAAGCGGTTTTGAAAATGGAGGGAAAGCTTATGCCTTATGTGACCAAAGTGTTTGAGGGCTTAGAGAAGGCTGCAAGATATTGCATTGTGCAAGTTTCTAGGGGAGAGTTATACGAGGTGGAGCTAAATGCTGATCAAGTTTTAGTGGACTTAGAGCAAAGGACCTGCAGATGTTATCACTGGCAGTTGACTGGCATTCCATGTGTGCATGCTTATGCATGCATGTTGGACAAGAGAGTTGACCCAGAAGATTATGTGGATTTTGCTTACAGCAGGGACACATATATGCTAGCTTATGAAGATGCAATTGAGCTTATGCCTAGTCCCAAGCACTAGGATAGGGTAAAGCTAAGGGAACCTCATCCACCAACAATAAGGGTCATGCCAGGTAGGCCCAAATCAAAGAAAAGAATGTTAGAAAAGGGGGAGGGTTCATCAGGACCATCTAACAAGAAGCCTAAGAAGCCAAGAAAGCAGAAGCATTGTAGGAACCTTGGCTAATATAGCCATTATGCAAAGACTTGTAAAAATTCTTCTACAGTCATTGCACCACCACCTCCTCCAAGTTCACCTTCACAAGCCAATAAGGGTGGTAGGCCTCTATTGCAAACAACATGGGTGAATGAACAGAGAAGGAAAAAAAGAGAATAGAGTTGTCAGAGTGGTAAGAACCTAGTTTACTGTCAAGTTTTACTCATTTTTTCAAGTTTTTATGCACTGGTTCACTTCTGTTCTAGTTTATAAACAGCAAAGGGTGTAGGGCCAACCAGCATTGCAAATAGGAAGTTTTCACAGGAAAAAAACCATCAAGCTTCCCAAGGTCAACTATGCAGCCAGACATCATCAACTACAACAACTCCATCAACCAAGAAGCAATCAAAGGGCCAAAGCACGAAAAAATAGTTGGTTTTCTTATGTTAAGGGTTCACAGTCTGTTGTGAACATGTGTTTTGTGAACTAGTATTTTGTGAACTTGTCTAAATTTAGGTATCTTTTCAAACATTTATATACGCCCATAATGTGTAATATTTGCAATTGCCTCTTTTGTAAGAAAAAGTTTTTGGAACACAGTATGTTCATTTATATGTTAATGGTGGTAAACTTTATTCAAAGTGCTTGAAATTTTCGTTCATTCATTGATTAATCAAAAGTTGATAAGTGTCATTTATGACACATTTTAGGTGTTTTTCTCCCTTAGTTTTAGGTTTATTTTGGTCTTTCTTTGTTATTTCTAATCCTTTCATTCTTGTTTTAGTTAATTTTGTCTTAGTTTATGTTTTTAAGCCTTAGTTTGCAATAATGCTTTTTGCTCGGTTTCTAGCATGTTTTGCGTGCTTTTCTATGTGATCTTTCACTCTTTTCTCTCTTGGTCTATTTGTCTAGGTACTTGGCACGTTCCTCGATGTTGATGACCCGAGAGAAGGCCGAAAAATTACATAAGAAGTAGCCTTAGCTTGAAGCCAAGAAGCAAGCAACGACAAGCAAGCAAGAGCAAGCAGCCAAGCTTTGCCACTACGAGCGCGGCAGAAGCCACTGCGGGCGCGGTTCTTCGATTTCCAGATTTTCACTTCGACCTGTAGATGCCCCTCCGCGGGCGCGGCTGTGGCCACCGCGGGCATGGCCTTTTCGAGTGCGGGCGCGGTGTTCTGGGTATTCTTGTTTTATCTCTAATTTTTTCCCTTTTCTTCTTGTAATACAAATAGGACGACTTCTTTAGAATTCTCTATGCAAGTTTTTACATTTTCTCTCTCCATTAATTAGGATGAGGGTTAGATTAGTAGTTTCTCTCTCTAGTTTAGGAGTAGTTTTAGAGAGAGAAAGCTTGGGATTGCAATGGAGATTTGAGAGCTTGAAGAAGCTTTTATGTGGATTATCTTCTCAATTATTCAATGAGCTTTTCTAACTTTCTCTCACGCACCTTTATTGCTTTCTTTAATTGTTGTTTTTAGCTTATTTCTTTGTTGATTAGAGTAGATAATTAGATTACTTGTTTGATTCTTGCTTTAAATCTTGTTTTACTTCGATTTCCATGTTTTTCTTCATTATGATTGCTTAGATTTTGTTATAGGAAAATGGATGAAAGTTATGATTGATGAATTGAATGATTGATTATAATTAGTATGCAATTGATTCTTGATTATTGTGTGTGGATGATGCTTACATTGATTAAAATCTTTTTAGTTAATTGATTTTAGGTTTTTAATTGTGCTTTCAATCAATTGTGCGGAAGTGAGTTGATTGAGAGTCTAGATTCTTCCATACCTTTGCTAGGCCAGTTGCGCGGGAGTGATTTAGCTTAATAGGATAATTAACATGCTTAATTGTGCGGGAGTGAGTTGAGTGTGTTGATTGGTCCTAATTGAGAACATGATCTTTTAATTGCAATTTGTTGTTGAATTCATTAATGTAATTGGATTCCACTTTCCCTAGGTTTTGTTGATTGCTTTAAGTAGTATTTTAGTTGTTTCTCTTTCTATCTCACAACCTTCCTACTAGTTTAATTAGCTCAAATTAATACACTTAGTCCTTGTGGTGCGAGCCTATCTTGCCACTATCTTGTGTAAACTTGGTAGAGTAAGATTAGGAATATAAATTGTTGATTTGATCTAGGATAGTAGACCACGACCTATTATCATGTGATCAAAAGTCTTACAGCATCCTCAAACAAGTACCTTAAACAACATTCTTTAACAACCTATCTACACTTTCTTATGCATTACAAACATCCCTGTCATTATACAAAAACAACATAACACAACAACTTTGAAAATCAGTCCCCTTGGATTCATCTGTTGATCTGTTGCCTTGTATTTCTTCCTGTCAGAGCTCAAAGCTTTGCACTTTATAGGTTGAGATTGTCATTTTCATTCAAGAGACACCTCTTCTGCCCACTCAGGTCCTCTACTTCCCTCTATAAAGAGCTGATTTCACCCTTCAACAATTTTTGTCCAAAAGAAGTTGATTGATGACATCCCTCTGCCATTCACTCCCTGTTGGGTTTCGTAGAGTCCGACTCTACGCGGAAGGGAAACCCACCCAAGACCCGCACACTAATTAAAGCGACTAAGCATGCAATCACTAATTAAACAACAATTAAGAGAGAGAAGAAAAGACATTCTAACCCTTGGCGCGTGCTTCGCTTGAAACCCGAGCTCTTACTTGAACCTCGCAAATGCGAAGGTCTCCGACGGCTCGTACCCACGAACCCGACCCGAACGATCCAAGTCCCGTAGGTTAGTCGGGACCCGACCAATAAAAACTAGAGTTTTACGAACTTAAGGTTTTCTCACTTTTCTAAGGAGATGCCTTTTTAGGTTCCACTCAAGTGTTCTTCCCAAATCCCAAAACCTTGGTATTTATAGGGAAATGAACCTTGAATTCCCACTCTCAATCAATGTGGGAGATTTGCAATTTTCCCATTTTATTTTAATTAAAACAAAAATGAAATTGCAATGTAATCAATAAGTTACAAATGGCATAAGGAGGAAGAGAGATTAGGTGAGGACCATTTCCAAGGTGGGGACCATAGCCTTGGTGCCCAAGGAAATGCCTACAACCCTTGGTCCCCACTTAGTCAAACCGACATCCCTCTATGTGGCTGGCTGGCAGCCTGCCTTGGCTGCCAAGGCTGCCAGCTGGCGCCTAGCACCTAGGCTGGGCAGCCAGCCAGCACACACGCACACAGCGTAGCCAGCCAGCACTAGGCCAGCCAGCATACACACATCGCTGCTGCTTGGTGCATTGTGTTAGGCGCTGCTATGCTAGGCACCCGCACATGCATCGCTGCTGCTTGGTGCTGTGCTAGCAAGGCATACGCACACGCATGGTGCTGTGCGATACTGTGCTAGCAAGGCTGCCAGCGCCTAGCATCACGTATATCATAGCACGCCTAGCATGCTGCTATGCGATGGTGCGTGGCTGCGATAGCTAGGCAAGCACTGCCAGCCCATGCCTTGCGCCAGTGCCTAGCATGCAAGCAAGGCCTAGCCTTGCGATGCTTGGGCGCATGGCGTGCTAGCACACACGCAAGGCTGCGATGCTTGCGATGGCTTGATTCACATAGTGTTTTACATTAAGACATCGAGTTTAATTAAAACATCTATACAGGGAAATCAAAGCCAATCTCCAATGTGCTTGATTCCCATTGCCTCAACGTGCTTGTTGTGCTTCACTTGAGACAAAGGTTTAGTTAGAGGATCGGCTACATTGTCGTCCTTTCCAATCTTACAAAATCTGATTTCACCTTCGGATTTCCATTCCCTTTTCATGTGAAATCGCTGCTTGACATGTTTGACCTTCTGGTGTTCCCTTGGCTCCCTAGCCTGAGAAATAGCTCCATTGTTATCACAATAGAGATCTATTGGACCCTTGATTGAGGGTACAACACCAAGTTCACCAATGAACTTACGAATCCAAACTGCCTCCTTAGCTGCTTCCGAAGCTACCAATTATTCGGCTTCAGTTGTAGAATCTACAGTGGTGCTCTGCTTAGCACTTTTCCAACTAAACGCTCCTCTATTGAGGCAGAATATGTACCCAGACTGCGACTTGGAGTCGTCTCTGTCATTCTGGAAGCTCGCGTCAGTATAACCTTCAACAACCAACTCATTACAGCCACCATAGACCAGGAATTTATCCTTGTTCCTTTTCAGGTACTTTAGGATATTCTTGGCCGCAGTCCAATGCGCCTCTCCTGGGTCTAATTGGTATCGGCTCGTAGCACTCAAGGCATACGATACATCCGGCCTAGTACATATCATGGCATACATGATCGATCCAATAAGCGAAGCATATGGAATCTGACTCATTCTCTCTCGCTCATCAGGTGTCTGTGGACACTGTTTCTTGCTGAGAGTTATGCCATGGGACATGGGTAGGTGCCCTCTCTTGGCCCCTTCCATGTTGAATCGTGCCAGTACCTTATCTACATAGGTACTTTGGCTCAATCCAATCATCCTCTTAGATATATCCCTATAGATCTTGATGCCCAATATGTACTGTGCCTCTCCTAAGTCCTTCATTGAAAAACACTTTCCCAGCCAGCCCTTTACGGACTCTAACAGTTTAGTGTTGTTTCTAATGAGTAATATGTCATCGACATAAAGACTAGGAATGCGATGTCACTCCCACTGACCTTCTTGTAGACACAAGACTCATCTGGGTTCTTGACAAAACCAAACTTACTAATGGCTTCATCGAATCGCAGATTCCAACTTCTGCTTGCCCGCTTTAGTCCATAAATGGACTTATTAAGCTTTCATACCTTCCCAGCATTGCTTGGATCAACAAAACCTTCCTGTTGTGTCATATACACAGTTTCTTCCAAAATCCCATTAAGGAAGGCGGTTTTGACATCCTTTTTCCATATTTCGTAATCGTAATATGCAGTAATTGCTAGGATTATCTGGACGGACTTAAGCATTGCAACTAGTGAAAAGGTTTCATCATAATCAACTCTGTGAATTTGCCTGTAACCTTTTACCACTAGTTTAGCTTTGTATATGGATACATTTCCCTCTTTGTTTGTTTTCAATTTGAAAATCCATTTGCAACCGATAGATGTATAACCTTCGGGCAAATTAACCAAGTCCCAGACTTGATTTTCAGACATGGATTCCATCTCGGATTTCATGGCCTCTTGCCATTTGACAGAGTCGGGGCTCGTCATAGCTTGTTTGTAAGTCGCTGGCTCATCACCATCCATAACTAGGATGTCTTGATCTTCGGTTAAGATAATACTAAGGCATCTATCTGGTTGAGATCTTGGCCGTTGCAACCTACGCAGGGTAATAGGTTGAGAATTTACATTGTCGATTTGACTCTGACCAATGTCAACAGCTGCTTCTAAAGCACTTCGATTGTCAGTTTTGTCATGTTAACTTTGTTGCTCTACCTCTCGAACTTTGTCGAGTTCGATTTTCCTCCCACTTGTCATTTTGGAAAGGTTTTCGTTCTCCAAAAAGACACCATCACGAGCAACAAACACTTTGTGCTCGGATTTATTGAAGAAGTAATACCCCTTGGTTTCTTTTGGGTAGCCCACAAAGAAACACTTGTCCGATTTTGGGTGAAGTTTGTCAGAAATTAATCTCTTGACATATGCTTCGCAACCCCAGATATTAAGAAAAGACAACCTCGGAGGTTTCTTGGTCCATAATTCATATGGAGTCTTTTCGACAGCTTTTGACGGAGCACGGTTCAGTGTTAGTGCCGCAGTTAGAAGTGCGTGTCCCTAGAAAGAGATAGGAAGTTCACTAAGACCCATAATTGATCGAACCATGTCTAACAAGGTTCTATTCCTCTGTTTGGATACTCCGTTCCATTGTGGAATTCCGGGAGGTGTCAACTCTGAAAGAATACCTTTTTCGTTCAAGTGATCGTCGAATTCATGGCTCAAATACTCGCCACCTCGATCCGATCGAAGCGCTTTTATTTTCTTGCCAAGTTAACTTTCAACTTCACTCTGAAATTCTTTGAATTTCTCAAAAGATTCAGATTCATTCGACATAAGGTAGACATAAGCCTAATAGACATCCTTCGCAATTTTCAAACTACTCCAAGTCTAATGAGTCAAGAACACCTTCTTGAAGAAGTTTCTTGATGCGTTTGACGTTAATGTGGCCAAGACGATAATGCCACAAGTAGGTTTGATTCGACTTGATGGTCTTAACCCTTTTGGCGGTATCATAAATTTGTCTAAACTTATGCAATTTTATAGAGCATATAAACAAGACGTTTTAACAAACCAACCATTGATTAAGTCTTGTGATCAAAATAACTTGGTGTCCAACACCATAGATCAAAAATATGTTCAAAAGCATAAGAAAACAACCATTGTTTAATTACAAATCATAGACAATATAAATGTGCCTACAAGCACGATCAAAAGACCATCTTTGTCGTCCGCTTGTAGTCGCACATCCACTTGTGAAGCCCTCTCACTTGGTTCCTGAAAAAGGCAACGTAAAGTGAGTCATATGTGGTATCCAATACCTATGAATAGCTTTCTACAAGTGATAAGGAAGATACCTGAGGTAGACGAAACATTCCTCTCCTCCTCCTCATTTCGGAAGAGCTTACATTCCCTCTTGTAGTGGCCTTGCCCACCACAATAGAAGCACCGCATCCTTGCCTTGTTCTTGAACTCCCTCCTCCTTGCTCTCAAGGGCCAATCGGTCACTCCATAGGCGGTGGCTCGGCTAAGTAGTTGCACCACCTCCTTTAAAGAGCGTGTCTCCTTTCCCGCATCTATATGCACTCTAAGTGCATCATAGCCCGAGTGAAGTGAAGCAAGCAAGATATGCCCCGCCATCTCATCCTCCAATGAGATTCCGAGAAGCTGCATGTGTTTGAAGAGCCTAGTCATTCCAAGCACATGAGGTCGGATGGGCATCCCAGGTCTCAATTTGGTATTGTAGACCCTTGACCAAAGCCGGCGCCTTTCCTTAGCAAGACAACCCACATCCGGTGGCTTTATCTTCATGTTTGAGAGTGACCTAGTCAAATCAAACACGAGTCCATCATCGTTGTCATTGTCACTCTTGGTGACTCTTATGTTGACAACATCCTCCAATGATTTGAAGAAAATGTCCGGAAAATAGAAGGAGAGCTTTTCCTTCCAATCTTCCGGGATGGAATTAGCCATTAGATGTGTGACTTTCTTGAAATCGAAACACCATTTCTCATGAGCCTCATCTCTCATGATTCCCTTAGAGAAGTAGCTTGGAATGGGAGTATCAAGAGTGTACTTCAAGGAACAACTTCGAAGAATTTTCCTGAGTTCCTCCTCCCACTCCTTGAAGTTGACCAAGTTAAGGCTAAAAGCCAACTTGTCGGGGAGTTCCGGGCACATAGAGTTGTTGTTTGAATTACTTGCAGACATGTTTCTACAATTGAAATAATTTGAAATGCAAAACCATTCATAAACCAATAAGTTTGAAATTTAAAGCGTTCATGCAAATTTTCAATCTTATTGAGCATTTTATCCACGCATTAACATTAGTCCCTTTTGGGCGAGAATAAAATGATTCCAAGATCCCAAAAATCACAAAGTGATTAAGCATGCTTTGGCTTGTCTTAACACTTAATATTTTAGGGTAAGCAATCCAATTGCTAATAGCTCCGAGCTACTCTTGGTTTGATAAAACGTCGCATCTAATGCTTCCTTGACATTTTATCTCCATTGCCATGACATCTAAGGACTCCTTACCGATATCGTTGAGCTTAACCAAGACAACTTGTATACCTAGTATACCTTACGTTCCTAGGGAAGTAGTGATGCCTCGCTTTGGCGTAGCCCATCACATACACGCATTAGTTCGGTAAGTGTTGTTCTTGGAATGACATATTTTAGCTCAATATTTTAGGGACCTAGGGTTTCTATGTTGGTTGATTTAAGTGAACTCAATTAATCATCACAACATTTGAAAACCTAAACATGGACCTAACATATCATTCACATATATATAAGAACAATTATATATAGCAAACGTGAAATAAGATGCATTTGACAACTAGCATGACCCCTTGAAATCTTCAAATCTTCAAGAGTCATCATCTTGGCTCATCTTCATAGAAACGTCGTCTTGAGACATTTTCGCCAAAATAAAATTACTAGCTACTACGATTAGGATTAATCTAAATATTAAGGTACAAAAATACTCAACGGTACACAGACCGTATTTAGATTTACAAAAATACATAACGGATCGCAGTCCGTATTTACTATCCTAATCGGGCCCCACTAGTTGCCAATTTCACGAAACCTGTGAAACAATATATTTTTCATTCATCAATTCACTATATGTGAATGCCCATGCATTTTACAACGAAAAACAAGTAACAATGCATAACGCGCGCGAACTAGTAACTAACTTAGGTGGTTAATCCAATTAACGCGCCTAATTAAAACTAGTCAAAGTTGTTTAACATTTTCTGTGATTAAGACGCAATTATTTCATGCAATTAACGAAGGTCCCACTAAATTCCGCATCCAACTTAATTAATCCGATTAACCCAAATTTTGTCAAAACTAAAATTTTTGCAAGAGCCGAAAAAAACGAGGCCTAGCCTCGTTAAAATAATTAAATAAATTAAAACGGCAAAATTTTGCAAAAGCGATAGCCAAGTTTAAGCAAAAATGACCCACCCCTAAAACTTGTGGGCTGCGCACCATGGCTGCTAGGCAGCCCTTGTCGTTCCGTCTGATCATGCTGGGTGCTAGCACGCTCGCCCAGCGTAGCACGCCACGCTAGCTAGCACCAGCAGCACGCTACGCATGCTAGCATGCTCGCTGGCGCAGGCAGCGTGTGGCTGGCTGGCTGGGGCTTGCTGCCTCGCTGCCCTGTAGCACGCATAAGCATCCTCTAGCAGCCTATGGCCACACACCCAGCATCAGCGCACAACAGCCCTCGCCACACAGCAGCAACACCTCAAGGCACAGCACCCTCGTGCGCACCTAAGGCAGCCACATGTGGGCTGCCCGGCTAGCCTTGGTGGCGCTTGGGTGTTGTTGCCTTGATTGCGTGCCTTTTCTCGAGATTTTAATCCCATTGTACGTATGACATAAAATTAATTCTAAATTTATTTTAGAATCAATTTAGGGCAAAATGAAATAAAATAAGTCCAACTTAATTAAATTCAATTTTAATGGTGCACAAGCCTAAATCATCCAAAATTACCTTTGAAATAATTTAGGTCTTTCTTGATGCTTTAAAATTGAAGGGCTACACCCATAATTAATTTAACCAAAATGCAAATTAATAATGAGTTTTGACAAAATAGGAAGTTGGAAAAATAAACCCTTTCATCCAATGAAAAATTTCCCAACAATAACTTGTGTAAAATTGAAAAATTACATCTTCCAATATGAAGATTAATCAAAATTCAATCACAAGTTTTGAACTTTAAGGACTTTAATCAACACAAAAATGATTAAATCCAAAAATTAGTTCAACATGGAATTTAGCAAGCAAAGTTCCAACCAAATAAACAATTAAAGATTGAATCTTTGAAATTTTAGGGGCTTCAAAATTGCAAGTTCACCATAAATATTCACACTTAAAGCAATTTATTTGCAATAATGTGAAAAATACAAGTTTATGTGAAAAGTGAACACACCAAATTAAGCACCAATTATGACTTCATAAATATTCCTCGACTTGAGATTACTTTTAGAATGTGGAATAAATGACTCTTCGTCAGAGGAATCAAGCTCAAGCTCCATATCAGTATCTTGGTTAGGCCTATAGAGCCCATCTTCAGCAGAAATGTTATTCATTTTATGCTTACTACAATTGCATCTACTATTTCGTACTATCGCCATCAGTGACATGGCCTTATCCTTCAAACCTAATTCTTGCATTTTTGACATATTTTCTTTAATCCTTTCCAATCTAAGCCTCTCATATTCTGTAATTCTTGGTTCATTAGTTTTAAGATGCTGATCACCAGAACCTCCTATAGCTCCAAGCTTACTGATTTTTTTCTTTGTCATACTTGGAGCTAATTAAATGTGAAAATAAATCAATGAAACAGAAGAAAAATAACCATATATGAGCTATCATAAAAGCAAGCATGTACAAAATGAAAAGCAATAACAAAGCGGTAATTATATATATTCTGGTTAATAATAGTCATCAATTAAATTAAAACTATAATGTGCTGCATATTAGGAACAGTACCTGGTCCAAACAACTAAAAAGGTTTGAATACGGAAGGTTGGCCAAGGTAATTAAGCCAAGTAAAACACATGGTCTATGGTTAGCAGAATTGTATGTACTGCTATGCTACAAAAAATTATTGAAAATGTAGTAGGAAAAAAAAGGGGCTATGAAATTCACTCAGACTAGGTTTAGTTCGGTTTAATTCTCGTACATTGAAATTAAAATTCAGTTCATTTTGGTTTGGTTTAGAAAGAGTTTAGGTCATATCCATAAACATATCTTTTGTCAACCAATTTGTTTAATTATACAAATCATTCAATTTCAGGTTCGTGACAAACAGATCAAACTAAGGTATCCATAAGACAATGTAAATAAGCAAATAGCTTTGTCCACAAGCTCAGAAGCTGAACTATCAAATACTCCCCAACTTATAGCAAGAACATAATTTACTTTGTAATGCACTCATCATAATTACATAGAAAAGCTACTACTTTGATTTTGGAGCAATGTAAGTTTGATAATAATGAAGATCATGGTGTGAACAAGACTAAAAGAAAGGAATCTTGTACTATGTGCATTTTGTGCCACATCTAACAATCTCATAATTTTTTTTTATCCTGTCATTTTATTGCTCATTCGTCATGCAAATTTTTTTGGCCTTTTTTTTTTTAGATTATAGGTTCTTCACTCTTTAGCAGATTCTTTGTTTTGAATTGTTCTTGTGGATAAGGGATTATATTATATGCTTTCTTATCCTAGCAATCAATTTAAAATTTTTATGTTTTTGGTTTTTCTTAGATTATCTAATGTTCAAGCACACATTTTCTTAGCAAGTATATCTATTTTTTAAGCTGAACGCTAGTCCAAGTATAAAGAAAACCTAGTGATCAGGCTACTACTCATAGTTGACAATTTTGGACTTCTAAAATGAACTTCCCTTCTTTGTACTTTTGTGACAAAGCACGCAAGTATTACCACCCTAGTACTAGTCGACAAACAGCACATTGGATATCAGCAACTGTGTGAAGACCAGTCATAAGATGCGTATCTTCCTTAGGTCCAACCTCAATATTAATAGCATGCAAAAACAAAAGGCACTACCGTTTCTTCCCCAACAACATAATCACACAAGTTGGACACACTCTCACCATAAACTGTATGAAATCCTCAAACTTTTTACACAACAATTAATGGTATTTTATATCTCAAAATCAAGCATATTTAAAGCATAAACACATTACAAAATCTCAAGAATCAAGCATATACAATCGAGATTTTGAATTACCTTATGTCAGATATTAGTAGGATAAATGTGATTTGTAACATTTACATTGATACATGTATAGACAAAATCACTTGAATCAAGCAATACTTAGGAAAGACACGCAAGATCTGAAGAGTAAAGACTGGAATATAGCAAGATTATCTATAGAGAGAAAAACAACACAAGCAAAGTATCATGTTTTAACCAAACCACCAGACTAAAAACACTAAGATGTAATGGGGATTAGAAAGTAGCAAAATCTCTAAATGTTGCTTAAAACACACCAGTACCAGCAAAAATAGTCCTGAATCATTTAGAATTTTTTGAAATTTTTTCTGATTGTTATGGGTAACAAGATGGTTTTGAATCTATAAAAGCAAGACAATAATAGAGTAAAGACGGCATTGGGAGTAAATATTATAGATTACTTACTTGATGCCTTATTTAAATTATTCAATTTACCATGTTAACAGAACGTTTTTCCAATTTGAGCTCTAAACGTAAACTATTGACAAAAATGGTAGCGTGGAAAAACTATTTACCAAACTAAGCTTCCAGGGTAAATCGCTGTCTCGGACAGCGTTTTACCCCTGGTTTTTTTTTTTAAAAAAAATTCAACTGGTAAACGCTGTCCCAGACAGCGTTTTACCTTCTGTATTTTTTTAAATTCAGTAGGGCATAAAACGCTGTCTCGGACAGCGTTTTATCCTTGGGTTTTTTTTTAAAAAAAAATTCAACTACAACTATTTTATATGTTCAACATAAAGCGCTGTCTCAGACAGCGCTTTATGCTTGAACATAAAACGCTGTCTCAGACAGCGCTTTATGCCTTGAACATAAAGCACTGTCTCAGACAGCGCTTTTCTGCTGGAAACAGCAACCAGCATCCAGGCAGAAAACAAGCTTCAGCAAACAGCTTGCATGCTGCAGTCCTCCAACAGCCACCACAACAGCCAGCTCCACAGCCCTACCGTCCATCGTATCTGTTCACATGCAATTTAACAAATCCCAACAGAGTTAACGCAGTAGCAATTAACCAAAATGTTAACGATCAAATGTTCCAAATGTTATTAAATCAAAATGTTCCAAATGTTATTAAATCAAAATTTTCTATTACAAAATAATTCCTCCATCTACGATTACAACGAATTTCAGTTAACAGTCATGGGTCTTCTGAGGGTCTCGATGGACACGTTGCCCGGTTATGGCCCTGAACGTGACAACGACTACATTTGCTCGCGGGCCGGTTAGTCTCATCCATTTCATTACGTATGCGCTTTGACCTTGGTCGCCCTATTCCACGCAACATGCTCCCGTCGGGAATGATTCTGGGACCGTTATAGGGCGTCCAGGTTGTCTCGCAAGGGATTGGCCAGAATTGCGGCGCGTATGTGCTCGTGTATGCCTCCGATTGCAGCACCGGGTCAACCCACGGCCGCTCTGATAGTGAGTACGTTGCACATACGGCTAGAACGTGAGAACATGGGAGGTGAAATATCGTAGGTTTGTTGCAGGTACACGTTCTTAACTGAAAGTTAACAGTATGTTTATGGCCTCCTTTACTACCAAGTCGGTCTCCCCTTTCTGTTGTAACTTGGTAAATATGCAATCGACGATTATACGCATCCACTCTGTGATATCTGGCTTTTGCGGTGTTCTTCTCTAGAATGGCAGTGACCTTGGGGGGGTATGCAAGTCCCTGTTCAAATCTTGCCTCAGAAGACTCCCTTCTCAAAGTGAAATATTTGTTAACTCTATGAAAAGTTAACTCGACTAGGGACATGATCGGTAGAAACCGTGCTCCCTTCAACACGTTGTTGAATGTCTCAGAGAAGTTAGTAGTGCAAATCCCGTATCTACGTCCAGCGTCGTGAAAGAGGGACCACATGGTGAACGGAATTTGAACAATGTACTCCATTGCCTTGTTACACGCCTCACTAATGAAACACAGATCGCCGTGTAGTTTTCTTTCCTGCCTTTGGTACGCCGTAGCCTTGAACATATCTCTCATGTCGTTTCGTCGCACGTGAGTCTTCAAGTTAGAAGCTATGTGGCGAACACAAAATCTGTGATAGGCTCGCGGCTCGGTAAATCCAACGTTCGGATCAGTCATTGCTGCAATGATCCCAGGATGTCGGTCAGATATAACACAAAGGCCATCTCGTTGAGTGACATGAACCCGAATGCAACCCAGGAACCAAGACCAGCTGGAGGTGTTTTCCCCCTCAACCAACGCAAATGCTAGAGGAAATACTTGGAAGTTTGCATCAACACTTGTAGCAACCAACAGTGTTCCTTTGTACTTCCCGTACAAGTGCGTCCCATCGATACAGATAACTGACATACAATGTTTAAAACCGTCGATACAAGGGCCAAACGCCCAAAACACTCTTTCAAACACTTCCATGTTGCTGTAGTAAACACCGTCAACCAACGCTTTGTACTTCCACACAACACACGTTCCCGGGTTTGACTGTTGGAGGGCTTGCATGAAGTGCGGAAGTCTGCCGTAAGAACTCTCCCAATCACCGTAAATATCAGCTATTGCTTTCCCCTTTGCATACCATGCCCTCCGGTACGGGACATCGAAATGAAATTGCTTGGAGATGAGTTCTTGTATGAATTCAACTTTCAAAGACGGATCTTTCCGAACAAAGGACTTCACAAAATCTGATATTAACGACGAATCCAAATGCGGGTGATCAGTGGACAATACTTCCGTGACACAGTTCTCCCGGTGCGGGCCTTTGTATGTGACTAGGGCGAAGCCACGCGAGTGCTTACTAGATTTGGTACCCCGTAGCATCCAACCACATTTTTTCTTGCACCGCAAATGAAGCACACTCTCATTCGATGTAATTGTGGTGTAGAACTGATTCCTCTGTATGGAATACATCTTCACCATTTCTTGGAGCACTTTCTTACTTTCGAACCACATCCCCTTCTCAAATTCCCCCCCCGGAACAAACGACGTATGACTACCCGATTCGGCCCAATCCTGATCAACTTCGTAGTTCTCGTTCACCTGACTGAACCAAGGAATAGTTGTAGTTCTAGCCAGGGGCTCGCCCACTTCCATCTGAGCAGGTTCTACATCCATGTTCTGAAGTCCATCTTCCTCCTCTCCGCTATCGGCCTCATCATTTGTGTACACATCATACACAGAAAGTTCGTTATTCACAATATCTTCAAGATGATTCGGCGCATGCTGAGAACTAAATGGCATGTCAAATTGATCGTCGTGCAGCATTCGACTGAAAGATCCCATCCCATATTCAGTTGATGGAATGTCGTGTGACGGCACTTGAAAGGGCTCTGTGTTGTACCCAGAAATACGTGTAGATTGTTGTTCTGGCCGAGTACCTTGTTGGGTACATATAGGCACCGTTTCCACATATATTTCAGTGGGAACACCCTTCATTGCAACAACGTTCCTTAGAGCTGTCACATGCTTATTCGTAGAAACCGGTAACACTTGAACCCCATTGCCGGTCTCAAACCTCATTTTAATGTGTACGTCAACGGTCATCGGGTCTGAACCAATACTACTATGAACCTCATTCATCAAATCATTCATAGTCATGTTCGGTTCTAGTGTTAGTGGTTCCATATTTCCCCCACTATACTCGACCCGGGGTCCATCAAACAGAATTTCTCCTCCCCACCGGCATAACAAAACTACATTTTGTGACGCCATATTCTACATAACCAAAACACATTTTAGGATTATCGAAATCTAGAGCGAGGTAAATTATCAACACTGAAATAAGACTCTTCTCACCTATAACAACTTCACTTTCAACAACTTCACCAATTTCAACAATTTCATGAACAATTTGAATTATTTCAACAATTTCAACCTAAACTATTTCAATAATTTCAACAATTTCATCTCTTCTCACCAATTTCAACCATTAACAATGTACCACATCACCATCAATAATTATCAACAATGTACCACATTTTCATTAATAATTAGCAACAATTACATGCAATTGACATGAATTAACAACAAGTAAGAGCAATTACATACAATTCACAATAATTAACCACAATAACTATGCAATTACACTAAATTCAGTTTAGGGCTAACCACGAAATTGAGTGAGTGAGTGTGAGAGGGAGGAGGGCAGCAGCAAGGTGGCGGCAGCAGCGGTGGCGCAAGGGTGGGCGGCGGCGGCAATGCGGGTGTTTGAGTACGGTCGTGGTTTAGTGTGAGAAGGAGGAGGGAAAGCGTTGAGGTTGAGGTTGAGTTCTTGCGCATTCTGCTGAAGTGAACATGCTGATATATGGCCATGAAACGCTGTCCCGGACAGCGTTTTATGCCCTACTGAATTTAAAAAAATACAGAAGGTAAAACGCTGTCTGGGACAGCGTTTACCGGTTGAATTTTTTTTTAAAAAAAAACCAGGGGTAAAACGCTGTCCGAGACAGCGATTTACCCTGGAAGCTTAGTTTGGTAAATAGTTTTTCCACGCTACCATTTTTGTCAATAGTTTACGTTTAGAGCTCAAATTGGAAAAACGTTCATGTTAACAAGTAGAGGAGTTGTTTGAAACGTGTACAAACTATTTACAATGTTAGCAATAGATGAGTTATTTATATCAAGTTGGCCTTGTAAGGCAGCTATCTTATTGGCCACATAGTGATAACCTTCATAAAGTAAAATGTGAATTTGTCAGCATATTTTCATCAAGAACATACACCTTGACAGATCTAGACAACAGATGGAAAAACATACAGCTCAACAATTAAGAATTTCTCCCGTAAAGCTAATTTCACCTCCATTTTCACTACCAACTCAAAGTAATTCGGTATATCATATACGAGTATCTTGTATAAAACTAATTGAGATTTAAATCCAGAATCATTACCAAAAAAAAAAAAACAAAAAAAAAAAAAAAAACTACCAAAATTATTTGTATCATCAACCAATTGTAGTGATATAGCGCTCTTTAGCAAAAGCATAATAACCTCAACAACCAGAAATTAGAAAGTTCCTTGTAATTCAATCAAACAATTAAAATTAATACAACCTAGAATATATTACATCTAAAAATCAAATCCAACATCAAATTAACCAGTTATAAAGATTAAATTCACTTGAGAGATAAAAGGGGCAACGGTGACTTACAAATAGAATTCAGAAAACAACAAATTATTCGGTGGCATCAAACCCCACTAGCGGCCAATCATAAAAGCAAAGGAAGCCGTGTGAGTAGAGAGCAAAGCAACTAATTGATTACGAAACAGATACTCAATACTCTTAATTAACTCTCACCTGAGTAGAAACGAAGGAAATATATAACCGATTAAGAAGATGAGTGTGCTGTATAGTGAGATCAACAACTGGATCGTGGAGTAACTGCTGATTCATAGTAGAAAAATATTAGAGCCAAAAAAATTTCACCGTTTCGCGGGTTTTGGAGAATGAATATGGCGTTGAGGTCTTGAGAAGTTGAGGATGATGATTTTTTTTTTTTTTTTCTTTTTCTTTTTGGATAAATGTGGAGTAAGTCCCTTCATTACTTGGGTGGGTGTAAAAAAGATGAAACCAAGATACAAAGAAGATTGTCCGAAAAAAGAAAAAAAATACAAAGAAGTTCTACAGTGATTTGATAAATAAGGTAGTTGAGTAATTATTTTATTTGTTATAAAGTTCACATATTACATGATTTTTTAATTTATTTTTTTTTGTGAGTAATTATAATAATCTATATAATTAAACATTGTATATGATTAAATGATAAAGTTAAAAATCAAATGTTAGTAAGTGAAAGTGACTATAATACCCTTATACTCCCTCCGTGTCTAAATAAGTGAAGTCTTCTGACTTTTTGCACTATTCATGTGCTCACTTTGACTAATGTTTGTGATATATACAAAAGAATAAATATAGTCTTGTGGGGATGGTTTTGGAGTTGTACCCGCTGGGGCGGGGATAAGGATGAATTTAGACCCACCGCGGGGATGGGGATGGGGATGGGGATGGGGATGGGGATGGGTATGAAAATTTTAGATGGGGATGGGGATGGGAAGGCCAACATCCGCCCCGCCCCGCCCCATGTACGTCCCTAATTATACATATATTTCCTAAATGTATCATATTCAAACTTATTATTTGTATCAATCAAACCTTATCTAAACTTATTTATGTGAACTTATTTTTCCTAAAATAAGTTAAATAAAGGTCAACATATAAAGTCCAAGTTAAGATAACAAATAGGGTCCAAATCAGTCAAACGTAATCAAAGAGACCCAAAGTCATCTAACGCGAAATAGACCTACTCAAACCTGTTTTGAACTTAATACTTCAATTTGAGCATAAAAAAATACGAAGCTGATGACTTAATCAAAACTCGACTTGGACCCAATAATTATTGCCTCGACTCAAAATTGATCTGACCCAAACCAAGGTGGGTAAGAAAGGGTAACTTTAACCATTATGACAAGTTATAATTTTATACAAATGTGAAAGTCAAATTATTTATTAGATTAAAAATAAAGATAGTGAGTTATACCATTAATTTTATACCAATATGAAAGTCAAATTGATTTATTATGTTTATAAGTCTTATGCTTATATGTCATGATGCTTATAATATAATTAATAATCCATTGTTCTTTACGCATAAGTTAATCAAACTTGTGACTTTCATGACTCAAACTCAACTCATCATCATCAATATTGATTTGCCCATTTTGCGAAAGAGTCAACTACTTCTACTCACTATTACTTTTTCCAATTGGATAAACCCATTTTCAAACTTACCGGTTCAACCCAAACTGATTATGACCCGAAACGATTACAACCCGACCCAATTAGGACCTAATCGGAATAGAAATCGCAATAAAATATAACTAAACTGAACTGACTCGATAATTTTTAAAACCGACCAGCTAATCATTTCAACTCGTTATAAACCGATCCGTTAAACCCAAAACCGATAAACCCAACCCGAATCCGAACCGTTTACCCGAATTGACACCCGTAAACAACATGTATTATGTATTTTTTTTTTGAGAAACATTATTATTAATGTCAAAAAATAAAATTATTATTATACCATCACTAATGAGTAATGATTCGACCAATTAGTTGTTGGTGCAGTGGTGATTGGTATTGCACTTGGTAGGGAGGACCCGTGTTTGATCCCCCGCAACAACAATTGGGAGAGGACTGAAACCTAACTAACCAAAATTGATCCCCGAAATCGAATTAGCCCAAAGGGTGAACCGGGTTAAAAAAAAAAAAAAAAAAAAAAAAAAAAAAAAAAAAAAGAGTAATGATTCTCCAAACAAATCACTGAAGACTAAAAAACTCCAACTAATTCGTTGAGTTCCCACAAAATCCTTTTGAAAAAGAAAAAAATTCCTAAAAAAAAAACAAGTCAAAAGACTGCCATCTAATATTCCAAACTTGATCTCCTTCAGAATTTCACTCATCAAATTCGAATTTGATTTCGATTTTTTTATATCAATTTCTAATTTTTTAGTGTAGATTGAAGATAGTGAGGAATTAATAATAGATTGTTTGGTATCATCTTCTAATTATATCTTAGTGTTACTAGAAGATAGCAAAGGGTAGGTCGAGGAAGAAACAAAGACAAGTCCGAAAAAGCTACTCAACTAGCTAATTGCTGTTTGTTAATCTGGTATTCTTCATCCAATTTTTAGTACTTGGATTTATTAAACTTTCTAATTTCATCAAATATTAATTTTGTTATCAGATTTCTTATCCTTTATACATGGTATTACAATAATATAAGTAAAAGAAATATATAGGTTATTCTGGAAATCTGATAGTATTCGAGCACCTCATATAGTTTTTAATTGGATTCTGAAAATTTGGTATTGTATTATTCTTCATAATATTGTTAATTTATAACTTTGCAACTAGTAGTGGAAATTTAGTTTGGTAAAAAGAATTATTGGATTTGCAGATTTTATATATCAATCATGTAGCAGCATATGCAATTGTTGGCTTTTGAAACTGATTCAATATGACTTAGAATTGTGTTCTTGTGATAATACATGCAGACTTCTTGTCTTTATAAAGAATTAGATTATGAATATTTCCTTATTTCAAAATTGCTATTATGTCGGGCTAAATCTTATTGGGTACAATATATATATATATATATATATATATATATAGTTGTAACTAAAAATTAAAAATTTTCTTCATTTGCCTTCAAAATTACCTAAACAATTATTAAAAGGAGATACATAAGAAAAATATTGGAGTAACTTCTGATTTTCTTATAAAACATTTAATTAGATAAAACATCATATAGTTGACAATACATCAACTGATATTGTGTATTCAATGAAATAATGTCATAGATTATCAACATAAATTGTTAGGTGACAATTTTATTGTCGTTATCTTATCCAGCAACATTTCCTAAACATGTTTCCTTAGGAAAGAGAAAAGCAACACTATAGGTGATTGTTGCCTTAAATGGTCTATAGCAACACATTTTTAATTGTTGGACAAGGGTCTAGTATTATTATTTTGGTTCATAGTAACATTTTAAAAATCGTTGCCTTAGGTTATCAAGGGTAATAGTTTATTTAGTGTTGCAATTTTAGGTGTTGCCTATTGTCATTATTTTTGTAGTATAGTGCAGCTATTGGAGAGGGGATGTGGTAGGAAGCTGCAGTAGCAACTATACATCAATAGCAGGCACCATTTGCTGCATATCAATTGGAACAGTGCAGGTAGCAGGCTGGCTTCATAGTGGTACCTTAGGCAAGACAGTAGTGCAACAGAAGGTCTATGCAGTTTTATAGCTATGCATATGCAGGCTAGCAAGAAGAGTTTTAATGGGCAGTAGGCTAATATAACCATATAGGGAATAATAGCTAAATTACAACCAATAAAAGGTAAACCAGCACTCAAATTACAAACTTATGGAAGAGTAGGCAATATAGGGTATATTTCGGACTTGAAGATATGCCTTAGGTCATGACTTATGTTATTCATGGAGTGATAGTAGATAGCAACGTTATAATTTATACAAGAATCAACATGGTCTCCCCTGCCAAGGTAAAAGTATAAAGAAATAGTAAACAAAATCATAAGAAAGAATGATTTCAAGCCTGAAACCACCTTGGAAATCTGTGTGTAGTAGGAACCTTTTCGAAATTATTAGAAACCTGTTGTACTGCAAATATTACTACACTAGTCATTCGATTTTCATGATCAAATTCATACACTCTAACATAGGGATGAATTAGTCTTATAAGAAATGCATATATTAAACATCTTGAAGATACCCTGATATCTTTACTACCAGAACTTCCATGACAAGTGTTCTAGATGTTCCTTGTTAAAGTTTCAGCATTAACACCTCTGAGGACTCCTTTTCTCTTTCAATTGCTTCAAAAAAACATGACACTAGAAAGCAATGGGACTCTAGTTGACGGGAACATAAGGTTTGCTAAGTAAGAAGGCCCATAATCAAATCTTTACAATAGTCCCTTATTCTGACCCTACTGCTTTCATGAAATAAAAGATTTCGTTTAGCTAACTAAACCATATAATGTGAAAGACAGTGTGTCCATGTCTTTATGCTGTGTTCATCTTATTTATTATCGCAGTCATCTATTTAGCTCAAACCATTCATCAAAGAAAACTTGCTTGATTCCAGAAATTCAGATCGAGTTGAAAAACATGACAGGAAAGGAAAGTGTAAACAGGGATATTAGAGGTACAGGGTAAAAAAGAGGACAAATGAGGGAAAAATTAGCCTACTAAATTGGTCAAGGGTTCAGACAAATGTTTAAGTGATTGTGTTGTTTACGCAACAAATGGATACCATTATTATACAAGTGGGTTAATGAAACAACAATCAGACCTTAACACAACTATGGGTCTTATACAATATTCAATTGTCATTCCCAGCAAAGCATAATATCATTCAAGCTTTCTGTCATATTGCAATTTAAGGATGATAATTTATAATTAAAGCTAAAACAAATAATATATACCAGTCATCAAAATTAACCCATATTAAGTAGTAAAAATGACGATTTCGCTGGCATCAAATCTAACTAGACACTCTTGAAAGCAAATTAAAGTGTGAGTAGAGAGCAAGCCAACAAATTAATTGCAAAACAAATTTGAGATTATTTAACCCCTAACCTGAGCAGAGAGTAGAAAGCAAGCAGATCAAGAAATGAAAAGCAATGAGTAACTGATTCTTGGGAAAATTTTGGAGCCGAAAAAATTCCCATTCGCGTGCTTTTGTGGAGGTTATGGAGATCAAGAAATGGAGTTATGGAGATCATGGGGGTTTTTATTTAATTTTTTTTTTTTTTTTGGAAAAGGTTCATCTGGTTTCGTTGCTCTGAGCCTCTGAACTTGTTTCTTTGATGTTGGTTATTGTTTTACTGTTTTACACTTTTACCTTGTTATGTTGTAGGGGCCTTTGTTAACTTTATAATATCGCTGTCCCTCTTTTAATCTTTTTCATTTAAATAATAACAAATAAATAAAAAGTGTTCACCAATTCACTACATAGGTGGATAGGCTAGCTATATGCGGAGTATTTCACTTAAAGGTGCCAAAATGTGTTCCAATCTGAAATCAACTAAAAAAAAAAAAAAACCCTCAATTCGATCAAACTTTGACTCGCATGGACTAAATAATTTAGTATAACTCAAGTTTGAAATTAGACCTAACTCGACCCAAGCTCAACAAATCCGACCCAAACACCTGAATTGACACCTCTAAATTTCCACTTTGTCAAAAAAATAAATTTATGTTGTCCATAATTGATTGGTTTCCTATCATTATTTTTAACTATTATCATAAAAAAATACAAAAAAAAAAATAATATTTTCACATAGATACTTCCTCACTTCCTTTAAATGTTCGTCTCACTTAGACTATGCACTACCATGACTAAAAATAACTTTCATTGCATATTAGTAACACATATAATAATTAAATATTAATAAACTATTCATTGAAATGAATCAAATAATGCCCAATATGATTATGTAATTATATTTTAATATTTAAAGTAATTTATAAGATTATTTCATCCTATAAATTACTAGGTTAAACCCCGTGCAAGACGCACGGTTGTTAAATAGTTGTAATGAAAACCAAATTATAGAAATGGTATAAAAATATAAGGACCCGACGCACCAATTATTCAATTATGAAGTATATAACCACATCTAATAGTTATAATGAGGAATGTAATATTTTAGAAATTTTAATTTAGATTTATGTAAAGCAAATGTCATTATTTGGATACAATCCTTCATTATGATAAGAATACTATTTTTTAATTAAAGTACATAACTTAGTTTATTGATAAACTGTAATTAATTGCATAGTCACTTATTAGCCTTTAGCTCTTATCTGAACTTGTCAAAATTATCATATGAGCTTATTTTGTATTATATATTTTCACCAATCAACCCTAACCTAAACTTATGCAACCTTATTTTTACTAGTTAAAGTAAGTAAAAAAAAAAAAAAAAAAGGTGAACAGTATGAAGTTATTTGTAATAATGTTTAACAAAGTTTTTATGTCAAGGTTTAAATTTATACAAATACAAAAGTCAAATTGTATAGATACAAAAGAAACATAGAGACTTTTACCAGGCCAATTAAGTTTTATATTTATGTGACAGTCAAATTGTTTTATCATGCTTATAAGTCATGATGCTTAAAATTACAATTACTTATCCATTATTCTTTTACACATAAGTCATTTAAACTCGTGATTTTCATGAGTTAAAATCTTTTTGATACTGAATTGACCTGAATTAAACTCAATCTGATTTCAATATGACAAATATGAACTCAACTAGACTCAACATAGACCTATAAATTGATTATTCTAATCTCTATTGAGCGTACTTGAGGTTAACCCAACTTGATTTTTTTCCAAACTTATCATTGTCCTTTGTTTTTTTATTATTTAAAACTTAAACACAATTACTTTGTGCATGTACAATTTTATTTCATTAACAATGAATAATTTTTTCTTTGAAGGATGAACAAAATAATAAGTTTGTGGTTATCAATAAGGTATTAATTTTTTTTATCTATCATCTCGCCTATATAGCTATTATTATATTTTGCCAATTCAATATTACTTAACATGGTTGATAAAAAAAAAATGAGTAAAATACTTATATAGCTATTTTAAGTCACCAAATTTCATATGAAATTTCTAAGTTCACAACTCTAGCTCTAACTAATAGTTAATTACACATTGATTATCACACACTTTTTCATCTAACCATTGCTAATCATACAATAAAAAAATGTACTCTGTACTTAGAGCATACATTGATTATAACCTTAATTGATTTAATTGATAATTAAGTGTAAAATTTAAGCTCAAGATTAAATAATTGGTTTTACTAATCATTCATATATAGTAGTTTTTCCTTTTTTTTTTTAACTATACAGAGTAACTTTTTTTTTTTATTATTTTTATAAATTTATACAAAGTAAACAAAATCTCTTTTAATAAATATATTATTATTACTATTGTTATAGATTGGCTTGAAGGTAATGCTTAGTAGGAAATTATCTCATCTAGCATCTTAATTACTAACATATAGCAGTGTTCATGTAATAAAATTAAAGAAATTTTGTCAAGAACTACCAATAAAGCACATGTTTTGGAAACAACTACCTATTAAAATTTACTCTAACAATTCCGGCTAGAATCTCCTGCATGTGGGTTCTACTTTTTACCTTTATGAAGGGTTTTAGTATATTCAGGTGGATTTTATGAGGGAAAGGTAAAAAGAGGGACTCACATACGGGAGATTCTAGCCGGAATTGTTAGAGTGGTAGTGTCAGTTATACTTTTTACAACTTTGAGGTAAATTTATGGAAAAAAAAATTTAATAGATAATTATTTCCAAAATACATGCTTTAATTAGTGATTCTTGACAAAAAAATTTAAAATAAAAAAAACAAACAAAGGAAAAAAAAAAACACAAAACAAACCCCAAATAATTTGTTAGCAGCTTAGCACTCGTCACACAACAAACCAAGAACAAAATTCCCACAAAATCAATCAGCTAACGTTATTCCCACAAAATTTCCACAAAATCAATCCCATAAAATTCCCACAAATTCCCAATTAAGAATCCAAAAGATTGCTCTCTGTTATTCTAAACTCCAAAATATTGCTCAAATTTGATTTTGATTTCTATTTTCTGGTATTCAAGAAAGTGGAGAATTAATATAGATTGTTTGGCATCATCTTATCTATTTTCTGGTAGATCGAGGAAGTAACAAAGACGAGTAAGTTCTAAGTCGACTCAACTAGCTTGTGTGTTGTTCGATAATATGGTATTCTTCATCCTATTTAGTACTTGGTTTCTGGAAATTTCTAATTTCCAATTTCGTATAATACCATTTTTTTAATAGATTTAATAGAGGATACTAAGGGTATATTTATTCATCTTTTATACTTGATGTTACAACAATATGTGTAAAATAACATAGGATGATTCTGGATATTTGTTGTTTTATTAATACATGCTGATTTCTTGTCTTCTATAAGGAATTAGATTATGAATTATCATATTTTCAGTTTTGTTATTTTAAATTCTTAGTATGTCAGGCTAAGTCTTATTATGTTTGAAAAATACAGATTTTTTTTTTTAAATCAAATTAAATTAGATAAGTATGTTTATGCTTTAATTAGTTTGATTATCTAAATTAATATATAATCATAAATAGTTTAGCAATATTATTAGTGAACATTTCTGTTAGGCATCAAAATTTGAAACTTGATGCCACAAAAGGCCTGGAACCAGAAAAGAAGGCCGGCATATAATTGACTTATTCCATTTACATCTTGTTAGAATCTTGGATGGAAATAATAATGCTCTTAGGTAACACTTATTGTGGGGTAACATACATAATCCTTAGTTGTTGAAAACCTCTAGGTAATGGCACTATATAATAGTTAATAAAATCTGATGTATTGGATCGCCATGTGCTTGTTACCATTCTCTTTGGATTTATCTCTTTCAGGTGTGTGACTTAATTGTTGTATTGTGACCTTTAATTTATCTAGGAATTTATTGAGGAAGATGATGAACCGGAAATTTTATGCCCATGTACGAAGTGTGTTAACAGATTCTGGTTCACTAGGGAGGTGGTTTTCGATCACCTAATTGCTCATATATTTAACAAGAGGTATAAAGTGTGGAATTTTCATGGCGAAGGACTAACGGCAGGGTCTTCTTTAAGGGGAGGTGGGCATCAATGTCATAATCAAAACACATTAGACAATATAGGTGAGATGATTAATGATATATTCAGAGATGTTATGGGAGGTTCCACCCCTGAAGCAGAAGGAATTCACAAGGGTCTTGATGAGAAGGCTAAAAAGTTTTTTAAACTGTTAGAAGATGCAAAAGAGGAATTATATCCAGGTTGTAAAAAATTTTCAGTGCTTTCATACAGAGTGCAACTTTATTTACTTAAATGCCTTAACAGGTGGAGCAATTCTTCTTTCGATGAGTTGATGAAGCTTCAATGTGCTGCATTTCCATCAGCAAAGCTCCCCACTTCTTTTCATCATGCTAAAAAAAATGGTGAAGAACCTTGGACTTGATTACAAACGAATTGATGCGTGTCCCAATGATTGTATGCTGTATTAGAAAGAGCGTGCAAATGACAAGTCTTGCCATGTTTGTAAAGCTTCTAGGTGGAAATTAAATGAGAAACAAAAAGAGGAAGGTGCATTGCCCGACAAAGGAGTTCCTGCAAAAGTTTTGCGTTACTTTCCACTTAAACCTTGTCTACAAAGGTTGTTCATGTACCCTAAGATGGCTGAACTCATGACATGGCATGAAACTGATCGTAAGAAAGATGACAAATTAAGGCACCCTGCTGATGGATAAGCTTGGAAAAATTTCGATATTGCGCATCCTCAATTTGCAAGTGATTTTTGAAATGTGAGTCTTGGTCTTACTACTGATGGTTTCAACTCGTTCAGAACTATGAGTGTGTCATATAGTATTTGGCCAGTTGTTTTATCCATTTATAATTTACCTCCTTGGTTATATAATAAGTCTGAGTATGATATCATGTCTTTGATTATACCTGGTCCTTCTTCTCCAGGGTATGACATAGATGTTTATTTGTAATCGTTAATCGAGGAATTGAAGGAGTTATGGGAAGTTGGAGTTGACACTTATGATGCCGTGAAAGATGAAACATTTTCATTAAGGGCAGCCTTGTTATGGACAATCAGTGACTTTCTTGCTTATGCAATTTTGTCGGGATGGAGTACTAAAGGAGAATTTTCTTGCCCGAATTGTAATCATAAGACTTGGTCCAAATACCTTAAGTATAGTAAGAAAATGTGTTACATAGGACATCGTAGCTCTTTGAAAGAAAATCACCCATGGCGTCGTAATAAAAGAGCATTTGATGGTAATGTAGAAACAAGGCCTCCTCCTACTAGATTGTCGGGTTTTGATGTATTAAAAGATCTAGAAGGGTTTGACAATAAATTTGGGAAAACTCAAAACAAAGGCAGGAAGAAATTTCCTTGGAAGAAGAAATCTATTTTCTTTGAGCTTCCTTATTGGGAAACTAATACTTGCGTCACAATCTTGATGTTATGCACATTGAGAAAAATATCTGTGACAGTGTGCTTGGTACTTTGCTTGATATCACAGGGAAGACCAAAGACCATGTGGCAGCCCGCTTTGATTTACAAGATATGGGTATAATAAATGAACTCCATCCAAAGAGAACTAATAGTAGAGGGAAGCGTTTATACTCCAAAGCTTGTTTTTCCTTATCTTCTAATGAAAAAGACTTGTTTTGCAGTGTGATAAAAAGTGCTAAGTTTCCCGATGGTTGTGCATCAACCATCTCCAGATGCGTCCAATCCCATGAGAGGAATGTTACTGGTTACAAGAGTCATGATGCCCAATTTTTGCTTCATTATTTTCTCCAAGTTGCTGTAAAGAATACCTTGCCTAAGCAAGTAGCATCGACTATGATTAAGCTGGTCTATGTAGGAAAGTTCTAAAGTAAAGATCTTGACGATCTTGAATCTGAAATCATAGAGATACTTTGCCTACTTGAGAAGATATTCCCCCCTAGTTTCTTTAACATAATGGTCCACCTTCCACTTCATCTTGTAGATGAAGTAAGGCTTGGGGGGGCTGTTCAAGGTCGTTGGATGTATCCGAAAAAGCGGTATTTGGGTAAACTGAAGTCATATGTAAAAAATACAAGTCGACCCGAAGGCTCCATTGCAGAGGTCTACTTGGAAGAAGAATGCCTTATTTTTTGTTCTCTGTATCTTCACAATGATTTTAGTTCAAAGTTGAATCGGGCACGTTGAAATGATGATGATACGCCTCCAATGAAGATGGAAGCCTTTTTCCTAGTGTTGGACGTCCTTTAGGCGTAAAAAAGAAAAACAAGGGCAAAAAGGTTTCTCTAGATGAAGACACCTTGATGAAGGGTCACCGCTATGTACTCTTTAATTGCGATGAAATCAGTGATTACATAAGGTGAGTAAGTAATTTTAAATTGGTACTATTTCATATTAACTATATTTAATCTTTATTATTTTTAATTGACTAATACAACTAAGTTGCTTTGTCATATGTATGTAGTGAACATCAAGATTTAGTGAATCGTCAAAGAAGTCAAGGTAGACGAGGTAAGCGGACGGAGTAGGTGGGCGAGAGCACAAGAACACAGTCATGATAATTGAGCATGGTTCAAGGACCGTGTACGAGAAGAAAATGTTTCCAAAGAAATCAAGGCTTTACCCCAGGGTCCTGACTAGACTGTGAGAAGTTTTAAAGGGTACCTAATAAATGGTAACAATTTTCATACAACTGCACATGAGTCAAAAAGGAAAACTCAATGTAGTGGAGTTAGTGTAACATCTTCAATGTCGAGTTTTGCAAGTTTCAGGGATCAAAATCCTGTTGTTGGGGACGTCAAATATTATGGAGTTGTGGAGGATATCATTGAGTTAGATTATTTTGGACATTTCAAAGTGGTATTGTTTCGCTGTAGCTGGTTTCAAGTGGAGCAAGATGAGTTTGGCCTAACATGTGCAAATTTTAAAAGGTTATGCTATACTAATGACCCTTTTGTGATGGCTAATCAAGTAAACCAAGTTTTTTATGTGCAAGATTCTAAAGAAAAGCATTTGCATTACGTTATGGAAACTATCCCCGGAGATTTCTTTGATATGAGTGAAGAATCAAATGGTGATGTTGGAGTTTCTTATTGAAATGAATCTGCTCGCGATGGTGTTCGCCTAGGGGCAACTGTTGCTGATGACTATGATGTTAGTTGGTTGAGAGAGGACTTGCCTGGCACTACTGTTGATGTTCTAGAATACATGTTAGAAATGCAAGCAGAGCCGGAAATTGATGATTCGGATGATGAAATCGAGGACAATACTCTATGGGATTTCATGCAAGCAAGTGAAGATGAAGCTTAGGAAATATGATTTGTCATTTCTAGTATTCTATTTTTAGTAACTTTGAAGTAATAAAAGCTTAGGGATTTTAGCTTAAACAGTTTTGGTTTTGTTTGGTTTTTAGTAACTCTAGTATCCTGTTTTTGCTGCCTGTTATGTTTGCTTGGGAGTGGTCTGTTTCTGTTATGCTGTCGTCTGCTGTGAGGCTAATTCTGTTGAGATGTGTAGGTCCTCATTTCTTTGTTGGTTTGGCTGGCTGTGCTTGTAGCTGCTTTCCTGCTTAGCTGTTTGCTGCTGTTATTTCTATCCTGTTTTGCTGTAGGTCCTCGTTTCTTTGTTGGTTTGGCTGGCTGTGCTTGTAGCTGCTTTCCTGCTCAAGTGTTTGTTGCTGTTATTTCTGTCCTGTTTTACTGCAGGTCTGGTTTCTCCTGCTTTCCTGTATTGCTGGGAGCAGCTAGTGTGCTACAGGTCTGGTTTCTCTTGTTCTCTGGTCTACTGGGAGCTGCTGTTCGCACTGTTGTGGTTCTTTGTTGCTGGATTGCAGGTTCTCTTCAGGATGGTTTTTGTTTGTTTAGAGGATAATCTACACCATATCTAGAATACATCAATGTGGTTTGATAAGCTGACGAATGTTGGAGGAGATGTTAAGAATTTTCTAACAGCCAGCCACCCGCAGCAGCTGGCGGCACCAGCAGCTAGCAGCCACCAGCAGGCAGCAGCAGCCACCAGCAGGCAGCAGCAGCTAGTAGCTAGCAGCCAGCAACAGGCAGCAGCTAGCAGCCACCAGTAGGCGGGAGCAGCTAGCAGCCAGCAACTAGCAGCCACCAGCAGCCAGGAGCAGCTAGCAGCCAGCAACTAGCAGCCACCAGCAGGCAGCAACTGGCCGCCAGCCATCGATAGCAGCTAGGTAGTCGCCGGCTGCAGCAGCAGCTAGCCTCTGGCAGCAAACAATCGCTAACCGCAGGTAGTCGCAAGCTGCAGGCAGCAGCAACAACTCGGGTAAATATATGCTGAATTCTTTCAGCTACTTTGTAAAATTTATGTCATGCTTAATTAAGAATTCTAGCTTAAGCAATATTGGTTATGTTTGATTGCAAAAGTATATGTTAAATTGGACTTTTGAATCAAAATTAGTTTGAGAAAATTTTACTTTGGGTGAAATCATGTTGGTAACTAAAATTAGATAATTGCAAGTATTAGTATTCTCGCAGATTTATGGTATATATACAAATTAGACACAAATATTATAAGATCTTGGGGATTTTGTGAGTTGATTGATATTCTTACAACATCCATGTCAGATTTTGGAATTATAACATTTGAGAATTAGATTTTGGGCTGAAAATTGACATACATATATTTTTACATATACAATTTTGATAGCACAATAATATACAATTTTTATGTCATATTTATATGATATTTGTCACGCTTTCTCCCTACATTTAATTTATTGAGTATCATTTAATTTATATTTCGATTATTGCTCTCCTCGGGTTCTTTTTCTTTGTTTTGTAGGAATAAACTATTATGTGAGTCGAGTTACATATTGGAGATGTTCTTATGCGACAAAGAGAAGGAAATTACACAAGGACAACCTACTCCACAGCCAAGGTGTGGCATACGACCTTCTCCACAGCCTACCTGCGAATAGCACACTAAAGAGAAGAAGAAGAGTGGCAAGGGCAGCCCACTCCACAGCCCGCCTAGTGGTGATACTTAATTCTAGATGTTTTTATTATTTGATTTTCTAGCTTTAGTAGTATAATAATTTCAACCCTATTTTGATTGACTCGACTACTTATAATTCATAGCAATCACCAATATTGATACTACCTTCTCTGCGGGATCGACTCTAACTTACCCTACTACATATTAGGAGGATTAGTTAGGCTTTTATTATTTTTGTTATGTGTGCGACCGCCTATCAAATTTGTTTTATAAACTTGGGTTTTTGTAAGAAGCATTTCCATGTTATTGGGTTGATGTAGAGAGGATATGAAGGTAGATGCAGTTGTGTAGGTGAAATATTGTTCTTCACCCCACCTTTTTCTAGTCTTATATAACAAGCGAAAAAAGGAGTATGAATTATTAATCATTTAATAATTGTTTATTTCAATTTCAAAATTGTTAGAACTGTTATTAATTTTCACTTGTGTTTTTTTGCAGAATTGTAGGGATAAGTTTATCAAAGAAAGTATAAATTGCCTCTTTATGCTTTTAGTCTTAACTGCTTTTTTTTGCGGGCACACTGACTTGCTGATCATGCTTACCTAGCTCCTTATGGGGAAGGAAAATTACATCCCAGAGTTGCTCCCTATGCTCGCTTTTACATTTGTTAACCTCACCTCGAGCTCCGCTGTATAATGTGCTCCCCTCTGAGAGTTCTTTGCTGGCTACTCACTACCATCATCAAAGTTTTTTCTAGGTAAATTTTTTCTTTTATACAAAGGTATTCGATTTTTTTCATCGTCCATGGAGTTAAAATGATCTTGGATAGGATGGTATACATACAACTTTATGGAAAAACCTTACAAAATAATTACAAACTTGCACTGTTAGCCTTGTTATGAAGCTCACAGTACTCTTTTATGACCAAGACTATGTTTGGCTAAACCATAAACTATATTACGAGTTTACGACTTAAATAGATGAAGAGAAAGGATAAGGACTGAGTTTGGCTTCGTTTGTAGGCAATTGGGGGCAAGGGATGTGAGGTCCTCTGTTGATTTCGTTATATTTCTTGCTCATTACACTTGTTACGTACAATTACAACTTACAAGGTCAGTCTAAAATGTTAGTTCTAATAATTCTTAATTTGGATTTGACAGATAAGATTGTGATGATAGTTTTGGGTGTGATTGTTTTCAGCTTGATACTACATCGTTTGATCAGGGGAGTTATTATTTCTTTTATTGCTGTTATTGTGTAAGTGAGATTGGTAAGTTTTCTGGAGTATTTGGTTTGAAGGAACCAAGCTATTTTCAGGAATGTCGTGGTAATCCCCCTTGGAAATTATCAAGCAAGCTGATCATTGGTGTGTGAGATGGAAGGAAGCTAGAGCCATAAGGAAAAGGCCTGTGTGCACCGCCGCTCAGTTTGACAGCTTACAAAACCAACTCTGTTGGGGATCAGGTTTGGTTATTAGAATCATCAAAATATCAGTTTTGCAATATAAGGTTTATCTTTAATTTAATTCTCAGTATACTCAATTTAGGGTTCCTCTAAGATAGATTATTGAATGATTGATTTTGATTACTATAGTTATGAAAGATTATGACGCTTGGTTTTGTTGTCGGAATTTGTTATGGGCAATTTACACTAATTTTATATGCAAGAACTTTATGTGATTTTGGAGCCTAATTTGATAATGGTGTCAAATTGTAGATGGAACTATGAAAAATGGATTTTTTTTTTCATGGCGAGGTCTGAAGCCTCTACTGCCTTAGCTCTAGGGTAGACATGCCTAGGATATGCTAATGTACAGAAATTGATTGTTTTTTTAGCAACTCACATCAATGACTGCATTTTTAGATGAATTATGTGTCTGGATTGTTGATTTTATGTAATTGTTTTTTGTATCCATGATTATGTTTTTCAAAAACGAGTTGATTTAAAAGAACTATGGCTTTTGTGGCAACTTTCCCCTGTGAGAATAGATAGATTTATCAATGATGGAGTAGTGTGAGACCATGATGTACGCACTGAGAGGAAAGGTAGCGGGGTTGGCCTTCCAATAGCAATTAAAAAAAATTACAATATTCAAGCAGGATTCTAGCTACGTGATTCTGAATCAGATCATGATAATCCATCAGATGCTCACAATGACAGAGATGCTAGCACAGTCAACTTTTCAAAAAACAATAAACCAGAAGAATACAGTATTTGAGAAAGATTCAAGCTACTTGATTCTGAATCAGACTCTGATGATAAAAAACAAGAAACAGAAAGAATCCAACCATGGATATCTAGTGGGGTTGATTTTCCCAAAAACAATAAACAGAAAGAATCTAGTGGGGTTGATTTTTCCGAAAACAATAAACAGAAAGAATCCAACCATGGATATCACAGAAAATTCCTTGGAAAAATTGTAGATTTGCAGCCTCACATTTCCAAGCAGCAGGATATGTGGAAAGATTTTTGTACTAGTGATATATCTACTGTACAGACTCCGGCTTTTGATAAATTCTGCTTGTCGTTGGCTTTTAGCAGAATATGGATGCAATGTGAGGATGTAATGAACCAGAAGTGTACTTGCTTAATCACGATTGACTGTTTGATAAAGCAATTAGCATTTTCTTGATGATTTCAGTTGTTTGACTGCTTTTAAGTTGCTGCATAAGTTTTCTTATGGATGAAATAATCAGTGCTAACTAGAGGTAGATATATTTTGATAGGAAAAAAAATGTAGGTTTATGTTACACTGATTTTTCTGAAAATAGCTAAGCTATCCTGTGTAGCTGAAAGAAAACCTGCTTGAAACTCCATCTCTTACAACATGTGGACCATCCTTGTTTTACTTGATCACCTCCAAAGTTCCAATTTTTTGTGCTACTTTTGGTTCACACAGTTGACGATTCAGGAATAGAATTACCATCAACAATTATATTTGCTACTAAAAGACCCTCCTATTTCCTAATGATGATGGTTTTTTTTTTTTTGTGTGTGTGTGTGTGTGTGTGTGTGTGTGTGTGTGTGTGCAGTTTTTCATTTGTTATTGGCTTTTGTGTGCTGTATAATTGTGTCTATTAATAGCAATTTGGTTAACATGAATTTGTAACATTATCTCCAATTATTCTGATTGTGATTAATGTCAATGCGCTCACCTCTTTATTCTGCTGTGTCAATCTTTTTCAGGTGTATACCTGTAAAATGGACAAAAACTGATAGGTCAAATTGCCTATAGACATTATAGAAAGGTATCTATAACCAAATTGTTCTAATATGTCACTCTGCTCATGTTACTAAATATTATAAGCTTTGCTGTCATATATCTTAGTACCATGACAATTCTCCCTTCTTTATTTCCTGCTAAAATTCAGTGAAAGTGAATGAAACACCACAACATTGTCAGTCATACTATTTGCACTTTAGGGAAGATGACCAATGCTTGATTTTGTTCTTAACAGGAAAGTAGAAGAAGTTGTAAGAAGTCTACAAAGAAGGGTACTACGAAGAAAAAGTGAAAGTTTTAAGCTGCTAGCAATGAAGAATACTAGAATTAGTCTTCTCTGTGATCTCTTCTTTTTTTTTTTTTTTTTTAAAAAAAGATAGTCATGCTCTTAAGTAATTGATGTAATAATTACTGTCATTTTAGTCGGTATGCCTATGAATAAGATAATAAATTACTCATTTGTTGTAGTTTTGTGTAATACTATTAGTTCTATATTTTTGTTGGTCGAAGTGTTAATTCATTTCTGAAAGCTACAAATATCTCTATAGTCTAGACTGATTATACTTCACTGCTATGCTAATTCAAGTTGCCGTGTGAAATTATGATGTCAAATACTCTCAATAAACTTGACTCTTTCCTATAATTCCTTATTCACATCATTCGCACTTTTCCCATAAGACTATAATCAGTTACATAAGGCAATGGAAACACATGAAACAATCATTGTCTTTTATACCTGAAACAACGTTTTTAAAATTGTTGCATAGGAAACAATTTTATTGTTGTTATATTTTTGGACAACATTTGAAATAAATGTTGCCTTATGTAAAAAAAAGGGCTACATTTTACATATTGTTGTCTTACATAGGCTAAAGCAACATTTTTTGAACCGTTGCATAGTACTGCAGTATATATGTTTAGGATAAAGGTAACAAACATGTTTTATTGCCTTTTGTAATAAAAGGCAACATTTGTAAAATTGTTGCAATTCTGTGTGTTGCCTATTCTCATTTTTTTTGTAGTGATTGCGTGGCTGCGATGGCTAAGCGAGCAGTGCCAGCCCATGCCTTGCGCCACTGCCTAGCATGCAAGTAAGGCCTAGCCTTGCGATGGTTGGGCGCATGGCGTGCTAGCACACACGCAAGGCTGCGATGCTTGCGGTGGCTAGCTAGCATGCTAGGCTTGCGATGGGTCTTGCCTAGCCTAGCACTCACATGGCTAGGCCAATGCGAGGCTACGGCTAGGCTCGTACTTGTAACTTTATTGATTTCATGTCTCATTGAATTCCAAACTCGACTCGACTTGCGACGCTCGATCTCGACGCTCTAAGCTCGATATCCGACGTCTTTGTTCGTAAAACTCCAACGACTCATCAAATCCTTCGGATTGATTCGTCGTCTCGGATCGGTTGTTCGACTGGGTTCGACCCGAAGGTTCAATCAAGATTAAGCTGTAATATTAATCGTACATTAATATTACTGATCGGAAGCGGCCTCCACCTAGGCATTCCGATCACTTGACCTTACTGAAGAATCAACTATCCAATAATTATGAACCCTCTATCGGAATAATACACTTGTTGGAAGGACACCATTCCTTTCACTTCCATCTTCTTCATCCACCCACTTAAAACACTTACACCCCCTTGATTCAGTTTTAGGATCATAGAACTTACAGGCTTTGAACTTCCTACCCGGATTCCCCCTTGTCCACAATGTTAATCTTGCCATGGGAATTCCACAGTCACACTTGCTTTGCCTGGAAGGAGAAGGCCTATTGAACGCTATATCACTCTGCAATTCGCATCAATTCACATCAATTATGCTGTAATTAGCATAAACAAGCCTTGGTTTAATCAAATTAATTTTATAAAAAAAATCCCCAATTCAATTACAATATGAACCCTAGTTTATTAACCCTCGCTAATTTACTATTATTTCAACAATTAAACTGTTAATTACCCAATTCTCAGTATGTCGAAATACTAAAATATGACATTTAACCTAATAGTCGTATTGCATAACCCTAAATCAAACATTAATACACAATTCTGACTAAAATTCAATTGTAAAGATGCATAAATCGAACCTTCTTCGTGCTTCAATTTCCTTCAAATTCAAATACTCTGGCTTCCAATTACCTTCCTTTGCAAAATTATAGCTTTAATCTGACAAAGGAATTTCTATTTTCGGATTTTTGACGTAGGGTGAATTAGGTCGTTGACGAATCTTCCCTAGAGCCAAACAAAATTTATAATCACTTAACAAACCTGAATACAAGTATAGAGGTAAGTTAAGGGTCGAACCACTAGGAACGTTTATGTTCAAGTGCTTTCAATGTGCGCGTAAGCTAGGTCGAAGACGAAGGTGAAGAGGTAACACTATTCAACTACCAAAACAAAGAAAAAAACAAATGAAACACTAGGGAATGGGGACAATACAACAAAAGAAGGCTATAGCAACACACATTTTTGCAATAGTTTTATTAGTGTTGCTATAAGTAGACATATGGCAACAGTTTTTAATTTAATGATACAACTAAACATTTTCGTTTAAAATCTGTTGCTATAAAGAAAAAAATGACAACGCTTTTAATGAATAAGTAAAAGATATTATTTGACAACGGTTTAACTAAGTGACCGATGCTAGTTAATATTAATAATTTATAATTGATTAATTAATTAAATAATTTCTAATTGAAAATAAAAATAACTAATAAGGATTTTTTTGGTACATGAAAATTCCGGGAAGATGAAAATTTTCTTAAGCTGTCAATTTTTTGGTTTCCCTCTTTCGTTTCCTAATTCACAAACCCTCTTTCCTCTGTTCATCCCCAACAATCCTTTCGGTTTCCCTCTTCCCTCTGTTCATCCCCAATTAAGCTGTCAATTTTTTTTGGTTTCCTTCTTCCCTCTGCTCATCCCCAAAAATTCTTATATCATCCCTCTCTTATTTTCCCACATAAGTTTGGGTTGATTTACAATCTCGTCATCATAGTCCGATTACAATTCTCTACAGGCAAGTTGAAATTGCGCGCTTGAATCACAGTTTACCGAAATTCGTTTGCTCTCAAGACTAGTGAACAAGGTTAGTATGTAGTTTAGTTGTATAAATTGATTTTGATATCACAATTATGTAGTTGGAACTTATGGTTATTGAATATAGGAGATTTAGGGTTTTGTAAATTGGGGAATTATATGATCTGATTATAAGAGTTTATGTAATTTAATTTAATTTATAGATTTATTATGAATTACCGTAGAATTTTTTTTCCTGTAAATTAATGTGTTTTCTTGGTGAGTTGCATGTTGCTGGTTAGTATAAGATCAACAAAAGCTTCTTCCTTTTGGTCTGAAGTTGATAATTTAATGTCTACAAGGCAATAAAAAGAACTAAACTCAATGTCTTTATCAGATGATAAGGCCATGCCAATTAATATGAACTAACAATTATCTATAATGATAAACTAAAATGATATAACATATGGAGAAGTTAATCAGATGATGATTCCAATCTTCCAAGATTGATATAAATTCAGTAACAGATAAAAGATAATAATGGCAGATGCAGTTGTTATAAATGGCCCATATATAAATTTTCAATTTTAGCATATTAGTCAGGTAATTGAGAACAAAAGACTATTAGCTAATCTTCATATTCGTCTAGCCAAAATGGCCATTCTAAAGTTCCACTTAAATTTGGTATTTCTTGCTATCAATAGAATTATGATAGTATCTAGAAATAGCATCTTAAAAAGCATGGTAAAGAAATATAATCTATTAAATTATTTTTCCTTTGGATTATTGCAAACTAATTATGATGTGGCCATTTTCATGGGAAGGATTCAGTCACTGTTGTAGGATATCCCCTTGGAGGAGATACAATTTCTGTGACAAAGGAGGTGGTTTCACGAATAGAGGTTTGCCTTTACTTTGAAGTATTAAACAAAGTATTTTGCTGATGTCTCTCATGTACATCAGTACATATGAAACCTGTTATTATTTACTTGTTGATAATCAAAGCATTTCTGTAAAAATCAGTGATTTATATATGCATCTGAATTCTCTGATTTATATATGCATCTGAATTCTCTTTTTCTATTATGTTTCTAGTTTTACATTCCTTAAGTTCCCACTTTATTACTACCTCTTTTCAATAATGCTGTTCTGAGTATCTCTAACCACACATAATAATTAAGATTTTAGAGAGTATAATTTTACTTTATCAATCTTATATTTTAACGAGATTAAGCGTATGTGAACCTAAAGATAGTTTTTAGCTAGAGATAGTTGATGCCAAGTAAGTGTTCCTTATAGACCAGTAGCATATTTCTTATTAGTCCGGAATTATTATGAGTTAATGGAATAATGTCTACCTAACTTTTATTTCATAGTTAGTGGTTTCTTATTTGAAGTTTTATCTAAACACTTTATAATTTTCAGTCTAGTTAGTGAGTAAAACTAATTATTCTCTTCTTATATATGACTTTTGATCTTAATAATCATAAACTTATATGTACTAGATTTTGGTTTGTAACTAATATGTGTACGTGTTTAGATATCATAGATGATCTTTATATGTATTTGCTTCAGGTTTCTATTTTCAGCTTTAGTACTGTATATTTTTCCAATTAATATCTATCAAATCTATTCTTTCATTTCATAATATAGATGATCTCTAAATTTAGTTGTTTGTGTAATTTAGGAATTGACATAAATTAAGTTATGGATCAAAATTGGATGAACTATCCTAGAAGTTCGGAGGACTTTAAAGTTGCTTTGAATATTTTTCTTGATGATTATTTTGCCAAGGACGCCATTGGAGATCAAATATTTGCCCTTGTAAAACGTGTTCGAGGCGTTTTTGCCATTCTAGAGATGATGTTTATGATCATTTGATTGTTAATGGGTTTGTGAAGGGATTCAAGGAGTGGGTCTTGCAAAGGGAGGGATATTCTTCTACAAATAATGATAGGCAAACTATGCATGAAGTAAATAATCAAAGTACAAATGATGATATCGATGGCTTAATACATGATACTTTTAGAGATGTGGGTGAAGGTCTAAATAGAGATCATGAGGTTGAAAGTGAGCCAAATGAGGAGGCTAGAAAGTTTTTTTCATTTGGTGGAAGAAGGAAAGAAAGAGCTCTATCCAGGCTGTAAAACTTTCTCAAAATTGTCTTTTATAATTCGTTTGTTTCTCTTTAAGTGCCTTAATGGCTTGAGCAATGTAGCCTTTGGTGATCTTTTAGAGTTATTAAGAGAGGCATTTCCAATGGCCGAACTTCCTAAATCATTTAATGAATCTAGGAATATAGTGAAGAATTTGGGTCTTGATTATAAAAAAATCCATGCTTGTCCCAATGATTGTATTCTTTATAGGAATGAATTTGAAGGAGCGGATGTTTGTCCTAAGTGTGATACATCTAGGTGGAAGTGTAACAATGTTCCTGCAAAAGTTTTAAGGCATTTTTCTTTGATACCTAGATTGCAAAGACTATTCATGTGTTCCAAAACAGCCGAATTAATGGTTTGGCATGATAAAGGCCGAATAAAAGATGACAAAATTAGACATCCGGCAGATGCCCAATCTTGGAA